AGCTGCTGCAGCAGCAGCAGCAGCATCATCACCAGCAGCAGCAGCAACAGCAGCACCTCCAGCAACAGCAGCAGCAGCAGCAGCTAAGCTGGACCAGTGCCGGCTATCGCCGTCATCATCTGGCCCAAGCTCAGCTGCAGCAGCAGGCGACGACGCAGCTAGCGCCACCGCCGCAGCAGCAGCTGTCGCCGCACGGACATCATCATCCAGCACACTATCAGCCGACGGCGCTGCTGCCGCCGCCGCCGCTGCAGTCGGCGTCGGCAGCATTGGCGCAACAACAGCGAGTGCACTATGCAAGCAGTCAACATTACGGTGATCCGACGTCGGCAGCGGCAGCAGCAGCAGCGGCCGCAGCGGCAGCCGCAGCTGCGCATCACTATGCTAGCGGCGCAGGCAGCGGCGCTGGCGCTGGTCATGGCTACTACTAAAAAAAAGAGACAACAACAACAACAGCAACAACAGCAACATATGTATGTACTTTACGTCATTTACGGCAGCAACAATTTATATGTATATGTATGTGTATGTGTATGTAAAGAACTATACCAACTACAAAATTATTCGAGCAAAGCATAAAACAAAAAGAACACACACACACACAAAAGAAATGTTGACAGCTGACTTGAAAGAGAGCACCGCAAGCTAAGAGAGCGAGCACTTTTTGCGCTCACACAGGCAGAGACTAGACTACGCTCTTCTAAACGTAAGAGAGCTTTGAATGAAAACTGCATACAGAGTTAGAGAAAGACACACACATACACACGCACACACACACACACACAGGCAGGCAGGCACTCACGCGCAAGAGCTGGTGCGTTTGTTGCCTTGCATTTTGTGTTAGTTATGTAACCCAATCGGCAACCTGCTGACCTGACCCCTTCATGGACTAGACACACTCAGAATGGACGCACGCACGCACTAACGCGAACGCACGCACGCAAGCACGCACGCACCAAAAATGAAAGAATGAATGAATAATGCAAATTGAAACTGTTTTCAGGCATGCAAACAGTTGAAAGTATACTAGAATATATGCTTACATACGGTATGTATGTGTATGTGTACGGTCTATGTATGTACATATATTTATATTTACATATGTGTCTATATTATATATATATATATATATCTATATATATATATGTTTATGGAGAGAGAAAGGCAGCCGCGAATTTGAGCACCAGCTGCATGCGCTTTTATCGCACTTCCTTTTACCCGACCCCTCGAGCTGCCCTCACCTTGTAGCGCCAGCTCTCACTCTCCCTCTCTCGCTCTCGCTCTCGCGCAAGCACTCGCCCACACATCTCTGTTTCATACACCGTTCTTGTGTTTTGTTGTGTGTCTCTCTTTCTCTCTCTCTCTCTCTTTCTCTTTTTTTCTTTCTCTGTTATTGTTCTTTGATTTGAATTTTCAGTTACGTGCATTTGTTGTAATTTGTAGCCCAAACGTAAACATAACCTCAAAAATTGAGTCGAAAACTTAAGGAAATTAAATTTAGTGACAAAAATATATATATATATATATGTATATCTATATGTATATGTATATGCATATGTATATGTATATGTATATGTGTATGTATATTTAAGGATGAAAACTATTACATAAATACATATACATTAAACAATTAAATTTAACAAAATATATATTTAAAACAAAACAAAAACAAGAAAATAAATACACTGTTGGGCTGTTCTTAGAAAAGAGAAAAAAATCTAAACAAAAACAAATACAAAAAAAAAAACCTAAAAACAACAAAAAAAAATTATATAAATACATAAATGAAAACAAGTAAATATATATATTAAAGTACACTTGCAAAACATTTGTTTAAAATATATTTTGTAAATTTCATAAAAACAACAAGAAAACAACTAAACATAATTTTAAACATATACTATAACTACTTTTTTGTACTATCCAATTCTTTTTTTTTTTTTGCTATTTCTATGTGTAAGTTTTTAATTTATGAAGCATTATTGTTTTTTTTTTCTATTGATAAACTTATGGATATGCATATATGCTTGTATGTGTGTACACAGTTATAAATAAATAAATATATATATATATATATATATGCTATACGCTATTGAATTATGTACGTTTATTATGATAAAGATTATGTAAGTAAAAGGAAACAAAAACAAAACAATTATGTATATATATATGCTTACATGTATATATATACACTATATATATATATGTATATGAATATATATATATTATTATTATTATTATTATTATATACATATGCATATTTTTTTATATAACAAACTTATGTCTTACAACAAACAAACAAACAAAAGAAGAAGAAGAGACGATAAAAAAAAACAGTTTTAGTGTTTAGCTATTTTACTGTTTATGTTTTTTTTTTAACTTATTTTTTACATGCAAAGAAGAAAAAAGAAAAAAACAATTTTTAAAAGAATTGAAAATAAAAACGATTTACAAAAATTAAATATTTTTAATACACAATGTAACTAAAAAAAAAAAAAAAAAATTAAAAAACAAACAAAAAAAAAATAAAAGTAAAAACCACAACAAAACGCTAAGACTTATTCAACAAAAATTTGTAAAATATTAACAAAAACTTATAAATGTATATGTGTATGTGTGTATGCATGTGTGTGCGTATATATATACATATATATATATAAATATAAATAAAAATATAAATATAAATTTAAATATACTTATATTAAAGAATATATATATAAACAGGAATGGATATGAAAAAGATATGAGAAATACATAAACACACTCACACACACACACACACACGCACACACGCACACACACACACGCGCGTAACTCTGCTGGGGCTTTGGGCCAGCGCGGCATCGATTTGGTAAAATGCATGTCCCGTTTTTTTTTTTATAAATATATATGCATGTATGTGTATGTGTGTATATATATATATATATATAGATATATACATGAATTACGAAGTAAATAACAAATTCTATATGGCATAAGTATAGAAAGAGAGTGAATAAAATGATACAACAACAATATATATATATATATATATATAAATGTGTATATAAGTTTATATATGTATATATGTTTGTGTGTGCATATATATATAAACATATATATATATATATGGGCGCATGTATGTTAGTATGTGTGTGTGTATGCATATGTGGAAGCTGAGCTGCAGCCGCAAACGTTGGCAGAGGAACAAAGTCGCCCGAGCAGCCCAGGCTCAAGTTCTATATAACCACATATATATATATATATACATATATATATATATATATATATATATAAATAAATATAAATAATATATAATATATATAAAATATGAAATCTAAAATCTAAATGGCAACTCAAGTTAAACATAAAAGTTGCCGAATTTTAATAAAACAAGAAAGTAAGAAAATAACTTGCGCTGATTATGATGAACATGTTGATGATAATGATCACAAGAATTATGAAAATGTATGCAAAACAAAAAACACAAAAATAAGCAAAAAAAAAAAAAAAAGAAAACGAAAAAAAGAAGAAGAAGAAGAAAAAAGATTACAAATATAACAATATGTAATAATAATAATAACACAACAGCAACAAAGTCGATAGTTTATTGTTTTTTTTTGTTTTTTTTTTTGTTCATTTTGATTTCCGGTTTCTGTTTGAATATACAAAAAAGGAATGATTGATAAACAATTGACATAATGATAAACATATAAATATAAAAATGAAAACAAAAATGATTTGAATACTATATATATATATGTATATATATACATGTTTATATGTGTATATGTATCTGTACATACATACATATATACATATATATATATATATATATATATATATATATAAATGGACAGCGTGGGCTGGAGCTGATTTATGATTGATAAAAACAAATAAAGAGAACGATGTGTAGCTTTTAAGTTTTAGTTTGTAACTTTATGCCTTAAGTTGTAAGCTTACAAATAATAAAATAAAATTAAATACAATATATTAAAAAGCAAACAAAACAAATATAAAAACGAATACAAACAACAAACAAACAAAAAAATGAATAAAACAACAACAAAACAAATGTATAACAAAATGTGCCTTTCTTTTGTTTCTTGATCGGGGCAAATTGTTTTTTTCCAGTATTAAAACCAGTTTGGGCTGAAAAAGTGTGCGACATGTGCACAAATTTAATATACATATATATAGGTTTTTCTTGATTTCAAATCGGTTTAATCCTGGACAAGATATGGCTACTTAGACTCTTACAACTTAATGGAAGAGATTGGCATGCAAGTTTGTTGAAGAAGAACCGGCAACATTCGGAAAAATTGTAGATTTTGTATAGGCATCGATAATTGTGATCCGCACGAGTCCAAAATGATATCCCAAACCAAAATCGGATCTGAAATAGTCGAGATATTTCAATTTGAATGAATTGATCAGACTCTAATGATTAATTTGAGGAACTACAACATTTTGTAAAGAGCAACCGGCTAACTGAGTAAAAGACAATTGTTTTATTGCTATTGATTTATTATTGATACTCTATATAGGCAGCGATCCACTGCCTTGGCTTGTTATAGAAGACAAGACAGCAAGAATCGAGTCGGCTTAGGCATTTGCGAAAGTATCCCTGAAGTATGCTTAGACTATGTATTAGGCGGCAATCCTAAAATTATGCTACACCAACTGAACGTGTGCACATGGCCGTAACCAGAATATCCAGTTAATGCAACAAACCGAAAACTTTAACTCGCCTGGCATTTGGTTTTCTCCGATTCTCATTCTCATTCCCATACTTTTTGCTTGATTATAGATATATAAACGCAACGAGTCTTATAGTATACAAGTATGCGATTTCTTCCCGTGTTAATTACAAGTTTCATTGTCAGTTAAGCCCACTTTTTGAGGATTTGTTGTTAATCCGTTAATTCGTGAATTATGTTATTTGCTTGAAGAGCGACCGAGCTTCGATTGTTTTTATTTACGTGTAACTATTGCTTGGAATCTAAAATTAGCATCGACTCTTGCTTGTATATTACTTTAATCTAGATTATAATCTAGATACCCAAATATTTTATTACATTAAACTGTCCTTAAGAACTGCACGCTTTAAACATAACGTCTAAAGGTAATCATATTGTTAGATCTCTTACAAATTCTCTCAACTTTATGAATAACAAACTATTCCAAATGGAAATTTCGAGTGTGTAATTAACTGTGTTTAACTGGGACCACGCTTCAATACGGATACGCGGGCTCTGGAACGGGATGCGGACGCTGTTGGCTTCCAGTATTGAGGAGAAGGAGGAGAAGAAGGAGGAGAAGGAGGCGTTTGCGGTCTGTTTGTTAACTTTAAGAAACAAATAATAATAATAATAATAAATGGGCGTCTCTAGTATAAGCTCTCAATGTTCGATGAGCGCGGCTTCTTCAGCTTCTCCAGATTCTTTATAACAATATCGTGCAGCGAGGAGTAACGATTGCGCACCTCGCACACCACCAGCCACAGGCTGAGATACTCCTTCTCGTCCAGCTCGACAACCGCGCGCCTATAGTCATCGATATGCGGATATTTGGCCACCTTCGAGACGACCTTGGCGCGCGATAGAAAGTATCTAGATATTTGGTCAAAGAAGGCGGCCGCCTCCGATTCGACCGTCTGGATTTCGGCCAGCGTATCTTCCTGAATCGACACACCGAAATTGTTGCCATCCTCGATTTTGGGTATCATAAAGGAAATCCACATTTTCAATAGGTTCGCTGCACAGAAAACGAAAGCATGAAATTAATTACAGCCGCTTGTCACAGTGCCACAAAAGTCGCCCGTGCACTTACAGTCCTCAACCAGCTTGCGTATAATCGGCTTGACCACCTTGATCATCTCGCAGAGCGGCTTATTGCAGGGCACCGTGCCGGCGGGTATGCCCAAGACGGCGGTGCCGGAGACGTCATCTTTGCGCGCCCGTTTTGGCACTGGATGATCGTCGTGGGCGCTGCCGTCGCCGTCATGATTGTTGACCAATATGGGCGCCAAGACCGGAATGTTTAGATCCTGATGCACCTCGTTGAAGTTGCGCTCATTGAACATGGACGTGGCCAGCAGTTCGTTCAGCTCAACGATTTTCTCGGGGAATCCTTTTGTAATTAGTATCTCCGCCTTCGAGATCAGCGAGTCCTTGTACTCCTGCACCTTGGTTATTGTATCCTTAGGCATTCTTACCGATCGCTCTTCCCGCAACTAAGCACTACGTTCAACAGAAATCACAGCTTGCGTTCTTCACCGGTTCGTCTGCAACAGTCAGTAGCGCGTGCTTCACGTTCGGCCACTTGCGTTGGGTTAGGGCTTGAGTTTGCGTGTCGGCAACGTACACTGTGCAACAAAGCATATTGTTTATTAACTGTCCGTCGGTTAATGCTGCATTTGGAATGCACATTTTCGCCCGTAACTTACCAAAATGAAAAACTCTTGATTGCTTTCGATGCGGCAGGCCGCGAGTCCACGCTTGTATTTTATGACAGCTTCGGCAGTGGTGAAATTCAAAGTATTGTAAAACGCGAATTGTCCATGGCAGAACTATCGATTAACTATCGGTCAATTTGGTGCAAAAATAGCTAGATTAAAGCAAAAACAGCTTTAAAAAATAGTCAATTTCGAAATGTTATTACAAATGTATACATATTAACTAAAATACAAACTAGTTTTTGCTACAGCAAGTGATGACGCTCCAACTCTATTAAGCCTTAGTAAACTGCATATCATTCTATATTGCGCGCAACTTATGTTTTTTAACATAATTCTTAACTGTTTACCAATATTTCAATTTCATAAATAAAATATAACCATAGCCGAGTTGTGTCGCTACACAGAGGCTCACTCATTTCACAACCCAAACGCGATCACATATTTGTCCGATTTTTAGTCTTTACGTAAATTAATTCTTTACATAAATATTGCCAAAATAAAATCATCGCTCGTTTGTCAGCTTATTAATATCGTTCTATCGTATATTATTGCACGAGTGCAACTATCGATATGACAACTCCAACTAGACTCCAACTATATGAATCGTGTTCGGTCATTCGATATTGCGCGCGATTCTATATTTGAATGCGATTTCTTCAAATAACTTTGCCAATAATTGAATATAATAAATACAACATTTATTTTGCACATGACGTAACCATACATAGGTTGCGTCGATTTACATTACATCCCAATGCCCATGACAAGCCCTTTAACAACTGCCCCCGGTCACATATTTGTCAGATTTTCGGCCCTTGCTTTCAAAATTGTGCACACTTGTTATAAAGCCACACATATATATTGCCCAATTGTACCAACGTTCGTCGACGCAACAGCTCCGACAATTATCGCACACTGTTGCAAAATCACGGACTATCGATATATCGATATGACATCAATTTCCTCCATCTATAGCTCAGAGCTGGACAGAAGCACGAACATGGGCAACAAACAAATAAAACAACATCTGGAGACTGCACAAAAGACGGGTGTGCTGAAAATATCCTTGCAACGCCTGCAGGAGTTCCCGCCGCAGCTAAAGAACTATCCGAATGTGCTGAAGACGCTCGATCTATCGGAGAATCGCTTCGAGACGGTGCCCGATGAACTGGGACGCCTGACAATGCTGAAACATCTGAACCTGAGCGGCAATCGCCTGTCGGAGCTGAACGAGGTCGTGGGGGAGCTGCTCAAGCTGGAGGTTCTGCTACTGATGAACAATTTTCTGACCAAGCTGCCCAAGACGCTGAGCAATTGCACGCACCTGAAAACGGTGAATCTGAGCAATAATCAGCTCAAGGTATTCCCATCGATGCTCTGCGGCCTGAAGCAGCTGGATGTCTTGGATTTGTCGCGCAACCAGATCACCGAAGTGCCCGCCGAGGTGGGCAATCTATATGTAACCGAACTGAACCTCAATCAGAACCAAATCTCTGCGCTAGCCGAGGAAATCGCCGACTGTCCCAAGCTAAAGACCCTGCGGCTCGAGGAGAACTGTTTGCAGGCGATCGCATTAACGCCGCGCATACTCAAGAGCTCCAAGATCTGTAATCTGGCCGTCGATGGGAATCTGTTCAATTCGAAACAGTTCACCGATCTGGATGGCTACGATGTCTACATGGAGCGCTACACGGCAGTCAAAAAAAAGATGTTCTAAATGTTATTTATGTGTCTACTTCTTCTTTCCATACACCATATTATATTATTTAATTTATTAGCTTAATTCTATGCTTTCTGTGCAGTTGTTGCCCATTCACAATAAAAGTCATTCGCATTCTGTGGCGCTTCACAGCTTGTAACGAAATAGCGGCTGCAGATGCGTGTGGTAGCTGGGATTGACGGCCTCCTGGTTGAGGGGATTGCGACGCGCCTCCGCCATCAGACGCTCGTAGACACGGCCATCCCAGCAGCCCAACGTGGAGCCGAGCACGCGATCATGAAAATCAAAGCCATCGACCAGGGCCAAGGCATTGGGACGCAGTGCGCCCAGCCGCTGCTCGTAGCGCTGCTCCAGCTGCTGCAGCTGCTTGCTGCTGATTCTGTTGCTGTTCCACTTGAGCACGGCGCCCAGCTGGCGCAGAAATGTGTCCAGCACGAACAGCTCAACCAGCTGCTGCAGCAACTCATACAACGCCGGCTGCACGTTGGGCCCCAGCTGTGCCAGCTGCTTGATGGCATTACGTGCCAAGTAGGCGTGGCCGTGCAACGTCGCCGCTGCGGTCAGTCGTCTGCCGCTCAAATTGTTGGCCTGCTGGTCCGTGTGCTTGCCGTGCTGGCGCTGCTCCTGCTGCCACTGCCAGGCCTCGCGCAGCTGGGCCGCAGCACAGATCTCTAGCGCACGTGCCACATTCTCGAGCAGATTGTCGCCCCAGCTAAGCGGCGATGCGTTGCGCAGGTAGGTGACGCTGGCAGGCAGCACCTTGCGCTTCAGCGCATCCGTATGCTGGCGCAGCAGAAAGCGCGCCGTTTGCAGCAGCAGGACCGTGTGCTCGCCCTCGTAGGTGAAGGCGGCGCTGGCCAGGCCCTGGATGCTGTCAAAGTTGGCGGACGACATGTAGCCATGGCCGCCGCAGGCCTTGCGCAGCACATCGATACCCTCGGCGGCGCCCTCTGTGCAGACGGCCTTAAGGCAGCAGCTGAGCGCGTGCAGCTCCGGCAGCTCGCGTCCACCATTGCTGCCATTGTGTCCAGCCGCCTCCAGCTGTTGCATGACGCGCTGATAGATGGACCACAAGACGTCGGCCGCCAGGCGATAGCAAACGCCGCGCGCGATTTGCGGCAGAATCTTCGCCTGCTGCGTGACATGATCCAGAATTTGCGGTTCCGGTGCATTCGGCTCGATGGGACTCTGGCGACGCACGGCAGAGTAGCTGTGCGGCAGGCGAAACAAAAAGAGCGGATTAGCTGAGCTGATTTGGGAACTGAACATCTCCTACCGTGTGGCTATGGTGGCCGCCTGGAGCAGCCCGAACATTACGTCCCGCACTATGATGACACGCACAAACACCATGGTGCCATAGACTAGGAGCGGCTGTGCCGCCTGCACGAATCGGCCATCGGCGAGCACCTGGGCGTTCTTCATCAGCATCTGATCGCGCGGTATGCGCACATTGCGGAAGCCAAGGAAGCCATTGTTCACCCCGTTGGCGCCCAGCTTGGGCCCAATGTCGCCCACATCGATGCCGGGCAGCGGTTCGTGCGTCTGCTCATCGCGTATGCGTACCAGAAACTGCTGCAGTCCATGATGCTTGCCACGGATGTAGAGCTGCGCCAGCACCACTACCATGTTGGCCGTCTGCCCGAGACCGCCGGGCCACCACTTGTAGGCGCTCAGGGTGGGCGTATTGAGCACGAACTGTTCGCGTTCCGCATCGTAGTCGGCGCGCGTCTCCAGGCCGCGTATATAGCTGCCGTGGCCGAGTTCCGTTTGGGCATAGGTGCCAACGATGCCATCCAAGCGCCAGGCGCGTCCCACCCAGCGCCGCTGCTGCTCCGCGTTGCCCTGGCTCAGGAGCGTGGGCAGAAACATGGAGAAGTGCAGGCGCAGCGGAAAACTCTGCTGGAACAGCGCCGTGCCCACTGGACCCGACAGCAGCATGCGATAGTCGTACAGCAGCTTAATGTTAATGCTGTCCTCTGTCCCCTCCAGCTCCTGCTCCTCCTTGTCTTTGGGCTGCTGTGCGCGCTGGCTGCGCTGCCATTCGCGCAGCTTGGCTAGAAATTTGGTGCCCTTGGTTAAGGCATGCTCGTAGCGCTGCTTGTACGACATGCAGCTCGGATGCACTGCATCATCGAATTCCGGATCGTTGAAAAAGTAATTTTCCAGTGCACGACGCTCCTCCAGCTCGTGCCGACCGCCCGCCCACCAAACGGCAAAGTCTTCGCTGGCAATTGTCGCGCCCTCGCGCTCCCGCCGCAGTTCAATGCACTCGCCCAATGCCTCCATGTCCGTTCCAATTTCTCCTTCGTGCTCTGAGTGAATCCAACAACGATTCGCCAACAACTGAGACGACAACGAACTGTGCTGTGCCACGCCCCGACTGGTTTACGGGCCGCAATCGTTGCCCCTCGCAGAGCTTATCAGCTGTTGAATGTTGACGATCCTGTCACACAAACATACATATGTCTGCCGTGTACGTATGTACATACATATGTGCCATATTTCACAGATAAGATACACTTGCAGCTATATTGAGCATATGCAAACAAATTTTTAAACATGCCTATAATTGTTAAAGAATCCAATTAACACGCAAAAGCAGCTAATCTCACACAAATGTTGACCAGTGTTGCCAATTCAGCTAATTTTGCTCAGAGAGCATTCAGCCATTTTTAACATCGTATTCAGCCATTTTTTTTTTTGTAGCGTCAGTTGGCAACACTGTTGCGGGCATTTTATTTAAATGGTGTAGAGTGCGTGTGTGAGAGAGAGGGAGATAGAGAACAATGTAACCAAATCACGACATTGAAATTTGCGTTGCTTCTATGTTTAATTACATTGTCCTTTTTTTTTGGATTTATAGCCCGTATATGCATGGTCACATTTTTGAAGAATGGCGGGCTAAAATGTGTTTTTAACGGCTAAAGCTATAATTGAAAATGATCATAATAGCTATTGAAAGTCTAGGGATTATCGCTCGCTAGGGATTATGGCTCGCTGGATCGCTCCTTCACCTGGTCAAATTCCTATTTGTCTCCTCTTCGATTTGAAGTGATTCTGCCTTAGACTTCTTTTCTTGCTGCAGCTATCTCTTTCAATCACTTGAGCTCTCTTTCTTATTGGCGCATTAAAGCTAGTTCGCGCTCTCTCTTTTCTACTCGCTAGATCTTTCTTTCTCGCTCCATTAGTCTTTCGTTAGAAGGAAGGCGATGGAATAAGTATTTTGAACAAATTTACAAATAATTTTCTTGTTGTTTTCATTTATTATCATATATAGAAAAAGCGACACAGACATTTTGTATTAGTTGTATATGTATATATAAGTATGTTTTTTACCAATACGACAAAATATTTGATGGATTTGATGCCCGATTCAAAACCAGGCAACTAGACATCAGCTCATTGTGTTAACGTTAACTAGTCTGGCATGGGTCTATTTAACAGTTATTGAGGTTTGCGACCCATATACGCCGGGATGAGAAAAACAACTCTCGGCCGAGCACATAATATCGGTCCGATTTCGTAAGTTAACATGAATATATATAGTATAGTATATATATTTGATTTCATTATCAATGTCATTCCCAAAATCAACAACAAAACAAAAAAAAAACAGACAAACTGAGATAAATCTGACACGATGCGAGAACTCTTTCGAATACTCTAAGAGTGTATCTTTATATGTAGATATACTCGTATTTGAGGTCTTTCTGGGAATGACATAATTACTTTTTAGCTAATGATCATTTCTTTTGTTCAATTATTGTTTTAGCTCTTGTTAACATTATGTTACATCATATCATTACTTTTTTGACTCTTATATCTCGTTGTGCTCAATTAACATATTTGTATATTTCTCTTAATTAACAAACAAACAAACAAACAAACAACAATTACACACATATACGTACATACATAGATAAACACACACACATACATGCATACAAATAGTATATATAGGTTATAACGGAGATATCGAGATCTTTTGGGTATGCTTATTGTTTATACCATTTATTCGTTACTTTTCAACGCTGGGTGCCTGCGCCCAGCCTTATCAACAGCTCATATATATTTTCTTGTTGTTTCGATTAGATCAAAATTGAAATTCTGCTTTTCGATTTTGCTATATTTTGCTCACTTTCAGTTGCTGCTGCTCAGGCAGACACACACACACACAAATATATATCTATAAATATATACATACATATGATCGCCATTTGATTATGATTATTGTTACAGTTATTAGTTAGGAGCTGCCACTAACCGTGCCTCCGCCTCCCACCCCACACACACACACGCAAGCAGAAGCGACATCAACAACTCGTGCACTATGACCAGTGTTGCCAGCCTTCTTCAATTTGTCAGACGGACAGTTGAAATTTGAAACTGATTTAGCTATTAAGGCTGTCAGCTGCTTTAAGCTGGGTTTCATATTGCGTCAGTTGGCAACACTGGTCGTGTCTCATTGTTCCGTTATATTAATATATGTGCATGTGCATGCGTGTACATACACATGCATATATTTGTACTTCAGACTTGCAGCAGCACATGCATACGCACACACACATTCGCACACACACATACACGCGTGCATAGTTGTAGTTGTGACGTACAAAAAGCTCACTAAGAATTTGGTTTTTGTGTGTGTTTTCATTTATGTTTTGCAATTTGTTCATAGTTAGAATTACAGTTATAAGCAAGCCAAAAACTACGATTTGTGCCTGTAGTAGTAGGTAGTAGTACGCATTAACCGTTAGACTATATGTATATATATAGGCACACACATGCACACATGCGTATGCACGCGCCCGAATATAAAATTAGAAAATATAAAACAAAAAAAAAGAGTGTACAGCATAATTTATAATAGTTAATAAATAAAGATTCTAGACAATCGTTTGACAATCATTTCACATTTGTTATTATTACATATATGCATACATATGTATGCATATGTACATGTATATATATATATATATATAGTATCGTATGACATATCATATTACAGCTTAATATACTTAACCTTAGCTTTATAACTGTATAAATCGAGCTAAAACTTCAACACATACTCTCAACATTCATACACAAAAGTTATGCAAAAAAAAAAAAAAAAAACCAAGTATAACAACTAATAATTAATAATAATAAAATAAAAAACGAAAAATAATAATAATTGTAATAGCTATAGTAATCTTTATAGTAATAATAGTTCTACACACAACAGACATATATATCGAGAAATAAAAATAGTTATTTGCACGTTCAACATTTAAATATATGTGTGTACACATATCTACATATATATATATACTTTACATAGTATGTATATGCATCTCTTTAATGTATATTCGTTTTAACAAATGCAGGCTTTATATAGTAGTTTATCTAGTTTAGTACGCACATATATACATACATACATATATATATGTGCACATGCTCTATATGTATTATATGCATATAGACTTTGAATTGATTTTAACATTTAGCTTTAGAATTTATCGATTTTTACATACATATATAATTTCATTAAAAATTCCATTTATATGCTTCGCTGCATCATATACAAACATACAATCTACTAGAACTATGTAACTTATCTGACTACAATTTGTTGTGTGCACACACACACATGCACATGCACATGCATACATACATGTATAGCTATGCGTATATGTGTGTGCGTGTGTGTGTGCGCGCGTGTGTGTATATGTATATAGAAACTCTATGTAACTGTGTTGATTCTTAAACGTTTTGCTTTGCGCTTGCTTCTTCTACTCTTTACTTAAACGTCCGTTACTGTTTTTAGTTTTCTTTTCTTTTCATTTTCATTTTCTTTTGCTTTTTTTTGTTGGTTTTTCTTTGTTTTTGTTTTTGTATTGTTTTTAGTGGCACAGCCACGTTTTGAACTTTAGGCCTTGTTTCCAACTGTTTTTTTTTTTTTTTGTTTATTTGTTTTCTTCTCTCCTCTTCTTAACTCTGGCTCTGCCTCAGACCTCCTACTCATTCGATGGTTTTCTTTCTCGTTCTCTTTCTCTTTCGCTTTGTTGTTTGTTGTTATGTGTCTCGCTCGCTCTCTCTCTCTCTCTCTCTCTCTCTCTCTCTCTCTCTCTCTCTCTGCGTGCGTGTGTGTGTGTGCTTGTTGAGGCGGCTAGCTTGGCTTGTTCAGCGTGTATGCGTATGTGAGTGTGAGTGTGTGTGTGTGTATCTGTGTGTGTGTGTGTGTGTGTGTGTGTATCTGTGTGTGTGTATAAGAGTATAAAAAACAGTTAGATTGTGATAGAGCGACATATATAGAGAGTGTCAAGCGAGAGACGAGCAACTGACAAACGTTTGCGTGACGACAACAACAACAACAACGACAACGACGACAACAAATGACATCAACAACAATAAACAACAACATTTTTAACTACAACAATAACTAGAGTGCGTTGAGCAGGCGACGGCGACGGCGACGCGGACGTCTATTTGGTTTCATCCTGATCCATGGGCTCCTCGGAATCGTCACGCGAAAGCGTTCTAGAGAGAGAGAGAGAGAGAGAGAGAGCGAGAGATTGGCTTTCATACATGTATGTACGTGTGTGTGTGTACTCACCTGTGCAGCGACTGCATGGAGAGGCCGGCCATGGCATTTACCGTTTCAGATTCTTCGTGCTCCACCTTGAGTGCCTCTAGCGCGGACAGGCCGACCGTGTGCTCCAGGAGTCGCACGCAGGGCCAATGCGTTTGCTAATAACAATGAGAAACTGGTTGAAACACATATACATACATTTAAATAGAGAGCGAGAGAGAGAGAGAGAGAGCGCGTCGGACCAGCGAGCAGAAAGTCGCCAGTTCAAATCTAGCTGCAATTAAGCGTATGCATCGCAATAGCCTTGTAGAGGATATTATAATTTTGTTGTGGAATAGAGATAGAAGGAGATATCCATAAGGAATATATACATATATATTCTCGATCAGCATCAACAGCCGAGTTGATAAAGCCATGTTTGTCTGTCTCTTTCTATGCGAACTATTCTCTCTCAGCTTTAAAGCTAACGTCTTGAAACTTTGCATAGGTCCGTCTTTCTATTGCAGGCAGTACATATGTCGGAACCAGCCGGATCGTAGCCCTATATCATATAGCTGCCAACAGAACGATAGTCCGAAAAGAAGGCTCTTGTATGAAAAAGTTTTTTGCATATAAAGATAGCTTGACCAAACTCAGCATTTGTTAGCTCCATTATGATTCTCATATATATGCAAGATCTTGTCAACAGCGGACCACTATATTATATAGCAATAGGAACGATCGGTCGAAAAGTAGGTTTTGGTATGCAAGGAGAAGAAGTGCGACTCCCAATCTTGAAAAACAAAAAACACAGCTAATTTTTCGATCGATTCTGATGATATAATAAAGTCGTGCTATATAGAGAATATATTGCCCATGTATCAGGAGATTTGCATTACACGTAAATGCCAAGTTTGGTCAGGATATTATGAAAAGCAAATAATGATCGATATTTCCAATGGCAGCTATATGATATACTTTTCCGATCCGGTGCATTTCTGGGCTATTTACTGCCCAATCTTGATATCTTGATGATCAACAAAGTTGTTCACACAATAACCTACTTATGGACCGATCGTGGCTATGACAACTATAGCATATAGTACTCCGATCCGGTTTTAAGTAACCCTTGTCTTCTCAGGAACTCACCTGTATGGCAATGGTCTTCTGCAGCGTGTTGATGGCATTCTGGCAGGGCGGTCGCTCCAGTTCGCTTGGCAGGATCGGGGCCGCCGGATCGCCAAGCAGGGCGCGAACACACTCTTGCGCCGAATCACAGATGGCCGCCAGATCGTAGCCGCCCTCGAGAGCGAGAACAACCTTGCCGTTGGCCAGCTGGAGCAGTTCGCGCGTCATCAGGCCAAAGCAGGCGGGCGAGACATGGTAGCCGCCGAGGGGCGCCGGATGGCCGGTGGCCGCATCGAAGCCCGACGAGACCAGCACAATATCCGGATTAAAGCACTTGGCGATGGGCATCACAACGGTACGGAATGCAGCGATATACTCGGCATCGCCCAGCGGTGGATTCAGTGCGCCCGACCAGGAGATGTTCACATTATAGCCGAGCCCAGCACCGGCGCCGCACTGCAACAGCGAGAGAGAGAGAGAGGGAGAGTGAGAGTATGAGTAAGAGCGAGCTTTTGGTATACCCTAAGCCCCACTTCGTCCCAGCTTCCAGTTTATAAAAGTCTTGATCTGAGCCGGAATCCTTGCCGTAACTTACCTCTGTGGGGCCACCTGTGCCGGGAAAGAAGTTACCGTCATCGTGTCGATGTATGGAAAGATATAGAATGTCGGGACTTTGGTAGAATGCTTGCTGTGTGCCATTGCCATGATGCACATCCTGCAAAGAGAGAGAGAGAGAGAGGGAGAGAGAGATGGATTAGACTTGGATAGTTGATGGTTGAATATGTTTCGAGACTTGCCCAATCCACGATGAGAATGCGCTTCATTTCGGGCACGCGCTGGCGCAGCAGCTTGGCTGCGATGGCAATCGAGTTGAAGAAACAGAAGCCCATGGCCAGATTGGCCTCCGCATGATGGCCGGGCGGACGGACGACGGCGAAACCGTTGCGCAGATCACCTTTGGCCGTCTTGAAGGCCAAATCAATGACACAGCCGGCGGCCATGCGGGCGGCAATTGCCGTATGATGCTCGTTCCAGGTGGTATCCAGATCGACGCCTAGCCCGCCGCAGGAGAGGCGCACAAAGCTGGCGGAGAGTGTGCTCTCGAGCTTGGGTCGTGTCAGCTGGCCCTGATTGGAGCCAAAGAGCATGGCGTGCGCCTCCGTATGCACCGTCTGCAGCTCCTCCTGTGTGGCCTTGCGGGCGCGCAGTCGATCGCAGCGCTTGACCAGATCCGTTTCATTGAGACGCGCCCAGACGCTCTGCAGCCGGCCGCTGTGCTCCGGATGCGGCGCATTGTCGCCGCAAATGCAGGCATGCTTCAGCATCAGCGGATCGTATGCGAGGCCCGTCGTGATCTTCTTGTGCGTCAGTCCCGAGCTCTCCACCAGCTGTTGCTGCTGCTGACGCAGCTGGGCGGCATAGACGCTGCCAAGGAGCTGCCGCTTGTGGGGCAGCGTCAGATTGACGGGCGGTATATGATCGGCCGATGAGGAGGTGACAATGGGCGTCGGATGCTGGCCCGTGTCGGGTATCTGGCTGAGGCCATGGCCCGGCACCAGGGGGCTGCTCAGAGTGCGCGACAGCGGACGCATTAGGCCCTTGGCCAGCTCCTCCTCCTGCAGAAAGAGCAGCTCGCGCTGCTGCTGCAAATACTCCTGATCCCGCAACTTGCTCGACTTGGCCGCCGCACGGTAGGTAGCTGCAGCGAGCGCCTCCGGCAAGTTCTGTGAGGTGCTGGTCGCAATTGTGCTCGTGAGCACCGTCTTGGGCGGCTTCTTTTTGTCGGTGAGATCCATGACCTCGGCGGCGGAATCATCGTCCTCCTCCTCCCTAAGCTGCGGCTCGCGTATCGCCGCAGCGGCTGCGGCGGCGGCGGCGGCATCGCTTCGCGTCAGCACCTTCTGGCGCAGCTTCTGGGTGAGCACCTGGTGCTCGTAGGCCTGCCGTTCCGCCTGCAAGAGAGAGTAAGCGTTGGGTTAGGCCAAGGGCACAGAGCCAGGCTGGAAGACTCACCTCGCTATTCTCGTAGTGCGTTTGCACCACATTCAGCTGGCCGGCGCCGGTGAGCATCGGATGGCCCAGGGGCAGCGGCGCCGATTGGGTGCGTCCGAGTGGCCGGTGGCCCTGCTTGTGCAGATGCACCTGGGCCACCTGGGCGTCTGTGATGGGCACATGCCCGGCGCCGCTGTGACCGTGCGCATGCTGTCCGTGCGCATTGTGCTGACCATGACCATACAGCGCATGGGCGTGGCTATTTGTGGGCGGCAGTGTGCCGGCGCCAGCGGCAGCGGCAGCGGCGGCAGCAACGGCAACAGCGGCAGCATGAAGATTAACAGCCGAGGCGCCAGAAACGCCGCCCAGCTGCATATAGGACGAGGACGAGGGCAGAATTGTGGAGGCGGCATGCGCCTGCGGCGGCGCCGTATCCCCCACCAGCGATGCCTGCGACGAGGACGTCGATGTGGCCGACGCGGAGCGCACAACTGGCGACGGCTGCGGCGCAATGCCCGTGGCGGGCATCATGGAAAGCGGCGGCGGTGGCGGCGGCGCCGCTTGCCTGCCAAACGACATGGCCAGCGGATTATAATAGGTGGGCGGTGTGCCGGCCACGCCCACGCCGACGCCAACTCCAACGGGCACCGGAGGCACACCGCCAGCGCCCGTAGCTGCCACATGCTGACGCAGTGCAGCGAACATGGCATAGTTGGCCTGGCCCGCCTGGGCGTTGGTTAAATGCGGACGTCCCAGCGATATGTTTGGCAGGGAGGGCGAACTGAACAGCGGCAGATCGTTGATGCTGCTGCGCTGGCCGGGCTGGTATTGATTTACCTCCTCGTTCTCCTCCTGGATGGGCGCGCTGGTCGGTGAGCCCCGGCTGCCAACCACGCCCACCGACATGCCAGTCGACGAGGGCGGCGAATTGGGACCAGAATCCGGCGTGCTGTTGCAGTCTTCAAGACAAACGGGAAAGGTTTTCGATTCAATTAGGGTATACCATATAGATATATATAAAGATATATATATATATATAGCTATATATATATATATATATAGATATTTATATATTTATGGATTTGGTGACTTTTTTGTGCTCCTCAGTTGGCCATGCGGCGGCGGCGGCGGCAGCGGCAGCGGCAAAAAAAAAGGGGGGCGCGGCAACAGCATTTGGTTAATTTGAGGTTAGGTTCAGTTAATTGATTAAACAACAACTATTTGGAAAGTTTCGCGGGCCGTTCGGTTAGATAAAATAATAACAACAGCAACAGCAACAACAACAACAACAACAATAATAATAATAACAATAATAATAGCAAAAGTTACAACAGCAATTTAATTAAAAAGAACGCAACAAATTTCAATAGTTTAGGCAAAAAATCGATGTAAAACCCTTTAAATGGGCTTTATCAAAAGTTTCTTGGTTGGGTGTATGACAATTCCTTGTGTGTGTGTGTGTGTGTGTGTGTGTGTGTGTGTGTGTGTGTGTGTGTGTGTGTGTGTGTGTGTGTGTGTGTGTGTGTGTGTGTGTGTGTGTGTGTGTGTGTGTGTGTGTGTGTGTGTGTGTGTGTGTGTGTGTGTGTGTGTGTGTGTGTGTGTGTGTGTGTGTGTGTGTGTGTGTGTGTGTGTGTGTGTGTGTGTGTGTGTGTGTGTGTGTGTGTGTGTGTGTGTGTGTGTGTGTGTGTGTGTGTGTGTGTGTGTGTGTTGTGTGTGTGTGTAAGGAAAGTAAGAGAAAACTTAAAATTAACTAAATAAAATGTAAATCACATTTGCAAAAAATGTTCATATTAGCCTCGAGTAATAGCGTAATTCCACTGTCAACATTTCATACATTTTTTTGGGAATGTGAAGTATGTTGCCCACATTTGTCACATTTGCAAAATATGTTGATATTAGCTTCGAGTTATAGCCCAATGCCACTGTCAACATTTCTTACATTTTGTGGAAATGTGAAGAATGAAGAATGTTGCCATGTTATCGAAAATATGAAAATATCATTAAATTATAATTTTAAATTTGACTAATTCCAGTTTTTAACATTTATAGATGGCTAAATCTTGCAAGGAGTCCATTAAATGGAGGCTCTACTTCGATGCCGCATATTTTTATCTGTGGAAGACAAACTTTTCGGCGATTAGGTAAATGAAATCTAAACCAATTTTGTCATTCATATCTTATTGACAACTGACACTTGCTAATGGAATCGCAGAATGTGAAGCTTGTAAGTGTAACATATGTTGAGCATAGTGGAATCAGGCTATTATAGCCATATGCATGTTGAAGCATATTTAGTTTTTGGCTTGTCATGGGCTTTGATAGAACTTGGAATACTATATTGTGTATAATTTTAGTCGATTCATTGATCTATCCATAGATAACGAGATCTATATATATATAGATCTGCCAATAATCAATATAATTATAGATATTGTTACAGATGTTGTTGTTGTTGTTGTTGCGGCCCGACGAGCTTTCCGCTTTGCGTATATGTTAATGCCTTGATATCCAGTTCCGTTTGCGTTGAACCCAAAAAAGAGAAGTAAGTGGTTCTACGCCTGCCGCATGGCCGTAGTCGCTAATCGTGTGTGTGTGTGTGCTTGTATGTGTGTGTGTGTGTGTGTGTGTGTGTGTGTGTGTGTTTACGAATGTTATACGTACTTGTGAGAACCGAGTTCTTCTGATGCCTTCGCTGGGCGGCTTGCAACAGCCGCTCGTGACGTCGCGCGCCCGCGGGCCCCCCGATGCGCGCCTTGCGCTCGATGACGCTCTGCTTGAGTCGTATCTTCAGCAGATTTGGCTCCGATGCTGATGCAGATATACACATACATATATACATATATCATATGCTAGATATAGTTATGGTAATTTGTGTGTCCATGTGTGTGTGTGTATGTGTGTGTTTGAGATTGAGTCTAGACATTGCTGTCTTGACCTTTCGACCCATACTTTTGTCTAGACTTCAGTTCTGCTCTTGGCCATTTCGTTAGTCATTTAATGTTTCAATTTTAGTAACATGCTTCATAACAGGGCCTCTATTAATGGATTTAAACCTAGCTACATTCTTTTTCTCTAAGCTAGACTTTCATTTAACCCCTTAGAATGGACCTATTTAATGTTATCGAGGAACTCTTCTCTTAAATCGCTGCTGAAACTTATCTCATTTGTAGTTCTAGCTCCTGAAATCTAGCAGCTGTTCAGACATCCACATTTTCTCCTTGCTTTTATATTTGTGTAATATGCACTTATCTAATTTGAATAACTTATCCAAGTTATATATGATATCTTCTTTGTATAACTTCAATAATTTAATAATATTAACTTATCCATTCCGTAGTCCTAGCTAATCAGACTTGCAATTTTGTTCCTATTTCCTGTATATTTGTGATATATGAACTTATCTAATATTATTGCTAGACTAGATGATTCCATTTTCGATTCACCTGACCTATATAATCCGATCTTAGCTTTATAGCTGCTGCTCGCTGACATCTGGTTGATTAATAGAAGGCAAGCTTCTCCCTCTTCTTCAATTAACGCTTTCTAAAACCTTCCCTCGATTGATCAGTGCTAATGTTTCTATACATCACATAATTGTCTAAGCGATGATCTGGGTTTGTTTTTCCCCAATTTAACTGATCAGTGATCATCTACTTAGTTACAATAAGGCACATTAAAAAGATGTTCCATCTGTTGGCATCTTTTTAGAGAAGTATGTGCTCTAATTCCAGAACTTTAATAGAGAAAACCTTTAAGATCTCTTTTCTACTGAACTCTCATTTGAAAGTGATCTTCATTTACGTACTTGAATATGATCAGCAGTTCTTTAAGCTTAAGTTGACTGATCAGTCCAGCGAACTGTCTATAACATGCTCTCAGCTTCTATTAAGTCTAAGCTTTGGGAATGATCAGCCTTTGATCTCTCAATTGATCACTGATCGCGAGCTATGATTGATTTTTTTTGGCTTTTTTGTTAGCAGTCCTCTTATTCCAATTATCTATGTATTTTAGGGAAAAGTCGATCTATTACTTCTTTTAAAGCTTATCTCTGCTTCTTTCTGCCTTCCTTTAGGAACGTAGCTCGTCTTCTAGCTCAGGTATTTCCTTCTTCATCTTTTTTTTTGGCATTTTTTTGAATAGTAAACACGCGATGCAAGATCGATTTTCCTTTTGATTTTAAGGAAGTTCCCTTATGCAAATTCTCTACTTTAAACTATGGCTTCTCGTAAAGCTTCTTTCTGTCTCTCTCTTTAAATTCTTGCATCAGATCAGACTGAGATTAAGTTCTCTTCTTATTTTTTTTTTGTCAAGAAGTTCCCTTATTCCAATTCTCTATATACTCTAGGGAAACATTAAACTATGCCTTCTCTTAAAGCTTATCTCTGCTTCTTGCTGCCTCTCTTCAAATTCTTGCAGCAGATCAGACTGAGATTAAGTTCTTCTAGCTTTGGGATGTCTTCTTTTTTGTCATTTTTTAGTAGTAAACAAGCGATGCAACAAGTTGGCAACACTTTGACACGCCAAGCAGAGGCAGAATATTGGTTAATCAAGGGGCTGGGCGTGTGAAAGGTGGGCGGCGGGGGCAGGTGGGCGTACACACAAGATGGAGCTAATGGGAGCAAGAACTTACCCGTTTTCCGCAAGGGGAAATCAGATTCATATTTGAGCAGTGAGGCCGGCGGCTGTGGTATTTTATAGGGATGTGCGCTGGTAACGGTGCCCGCGGGCAGGGATTCGCCCGAGGAGCTCTTCACCACGCCGCTGGAGCGAGAGAGAGAGAGAGGCAGAGAGAGGGAGAGAGAGGGAGAGAGTTATAGAGCTTTTGAGCTAGTCGCCTGTGGCAATATCCTTACCGATTGCGATAGGGCGAGGTTGTTGTTGTGCCATTCGGTGCCACCGCCTGCGACTTGCGGCTCATGAGAAAGCACTGAGAAAGAGAGACAGAGAGAGAGAGAGAGTGTGTGAGTGTGAGTGAGAGAGCGTGTGGACTTTATAGTTACACTGAGTATCTGTTTGACTTCGGGACTCGCATTCGCGCTGCAATTCTCCTTGCGCTTCATCACCTCCCGTTCCCTTCGCTCCCGCTGCTGCTGCTGTTGTTGTTGTTGTTGCTGATGTTGTTGTTGTTGGTGTTGGTGTTGTTGTTGTTGTTGTTGCTGGCGATGCTGCTCCTCCGCCGCCGTAACCATGCTCTGCTCCCGCAATTCCTGGAAAGCGCCATGTGAATGCACCGCAAACTGAATAAATTACAGTAAGTTCGAGAGAGTTTTTGTTGTTGTTTCGGGGCAAATAGAATTTATTTAATTTTTATACACCCTCCGGCTCGGTTAGGGTATCTATAATTTTGTCACGAAATGCATTCGACTAATGTACATAATGGCATCCATAATCGAGTCAATAGATAGTCATGTCTTTTGTTTGTTTTATAGCTGGGCAAAATGTCTGCAAGGGTATCTAATCTTCGGCGTGCCGAAGTCATGTGTCTGGAAGGGTACTTCCTGTTCGGCGTGCCTTCAAGTTGGCGTCCATTATGGTGGGTTATGTCTATGAGGGTATCTCATCTTCGGCGTGCCGAATTTAATAATTTATTATTAATAATATTTTTGCTAGGGTATCTAATCTTCGGCTTGCCGTGCATAGCCTTTCTTTCTAGTTTTGTTTTTATTTATTTTTTTTTGCAATTCTGATTGTTTTGTTGCAAATGTTGTTTGGTCGTGTTCTCCTTTTTGCTGTTTGTCAAGTTGTTTTGGTTTTTGTTGCGGTTCTTGTTGTTGTTGTTGTTGTTGTTTTAGTTGTTGTTGCCTTAGTTTAGTCAGCTCGCAGGGCGGCATTTCCGGCCAAGCGCCGGCCAATTTGATAATTTATTTTTGCTTTTTTATTTATTTATTTTTTTTTGCTACCCACGCGCCGACGTCGCGATCAACTGCAACAACAACAACGACAACAACAACAACAACAACAAGTTTAAGAGAGGACAAAAAAAAAACAGACAAAATAAATAAAAGTGTGTTAGTTGCGGCCGCTCGACTTGTTTGATACCCTGTGCGCAGCGAAAAGCTTCGATAAAATATTCGATATTTATTGATTTTTTGCGTTGAATTACAAAAAATGATCGATAAACGTGCATAGGCTTATACATGTTGGTGTACGTTTTGTATGTAGACATTATTTGTATACACACAATAAGCAACTGCAAAATCGCAACTCAATAAAACAAATTTTGAGATCGATAGTTATCGATTTGGAGTGTTTGATATAAAAATGATTCGGCTACGTTGAAAGAGAACCTACCAAAACAATTTGGTGCAACTGACACTTTACATTCGTCAATATCTAGTCAAACAAACTGAAGCTGGACATTACAAAGCGATATTTATCGATTTACGTGGAACGAGGCTAGTTATCGAAAAAGCTTTGTCATATATCATTTGCTAATGGCACATAGGAAGGTACATTGTCGTGATCTAGTTCTTTAAATTCAACAAGATAAACTCAAAAGACCTGTGTTAAAGTTCGATAATTATCGATTCGGTTAAGATGGACTAAGCTATCGAAATGCTAATAAGAACAAGGCATCTGTCTGAGACACATGAATACACATATGATCTAGTTCTTAAACTTAACAAGGCATGCTCAAATAGCGTGCGTTGAGCATCGATATTTATCGATTTGATTGAGACAAGCAAAGCTATCGAAATAGTTATACAAGAAATGCACTTGTCTACGGTGTAAGGGAAATGTATATAACAAATTTGGCATTAAAATTATTCTCAAATAAAGCAAGATATGCTACAAAAAAAACTTCATTCAAATCAATATTTATCGATTTGCCTAAGACGGACGGAGACGTTGTAACTATTTAATCGATTATATCCTTTAATTATCTACAGTTTGATCGCAATTTCGTGGATTGTTCACAGACCCCAGCTTAATTAAAATTTCGTCGATTAAGCTGAAGACTGCTGATCGATATTTATCGATTTGCTTACGGCGGACAGAGCTATTGAAATATAATCGATTATATCGATTAACAGACTACGGTTTAATCCAAATTTCGTTGATTATTTGCGGTTTAATCCAAACGTGGATCAAACTAAAGACTGTTAATCGATATTTATCGAGTTTGTGGAATGTTGAACAGCTGTCACACAAACATAAGCCACGGACTATATCGAACCGGAAGACTTCTGCAACTGCCTGCCATAGCGAGGCATACCCTTCCACAGCCATTGGGAAATGGGTGTACAGGGTAGCTAGATAATAGATGCCGCCGCCCAGCTTTATCAGTATCGATGTGATCTGCTCCCCTTGAAGATTGTTTGTTGTTCTCGTCGTCGTTGTTTTTTTTTTTCTTTTCTTTCTTTCTAGGTACTCACATGATATTTGTGCTCCAATTGCATTTTATGCTCCAGTTCCATTTGTTTCGTCTGCTCCTGATACGAGTGGAAAAGTCGCTGCTTCTGCAGCTCCTGGCTTTTCTTCAACTGCAAGCACACACAGAAAGAGAGAGAGAGAGGGAGAGTTAAGAGAGGGTAAACAAGAGACAGCGAGAGTGAGAGGAGAGCGCGCGTTCGATCGTGATGTTGTGGTAAATGTCGTGGGTAGATCATTAAATGGCTCTGAGTAATTGGCCCAAAGATCTTTGCGAATGTGGCCAAAAGAAATGTGACGCATAGCCACAATTGAATGCGGGGGCGTGCGCAGCGTAGCTACAGGAGGGAATATATTTGTTAAAACTGCTAAATGGATCTGTTTGAATAATTTCAATGTCAAGTATCTATTTGCCAAGCGATTCCCTCAACAGACTACAAAACTGCAGTTCAAAGAACTCACAAACTATATACGCATATATATATATATATTGGGCGACAATAACAGACATCAGAGTGCAGAATGAAATATTTTGGGTAAAGCTCAGGCTGCTGGGAAATATGGAAAAACCAGACAGTTGAGATCATAAAACTACAACAAATTTAGTTGACAAGTGAAACATGTTTTTGGGAATTCAATAAAATATGAAATACCCTTTTCAGCTGAAACTTTATAGCATGGCATATATATGATAAAATAGTAAAAAAAAAACCCTTTGAAAAATCGGAAATACTTTGCAATATTTATATATATATATGTTTTTTATAACAAATGGTATGCGCAGAATTTCCAGAAATGGGAAATTCTTTACGAATTGAAATTTACATTTGTATACCCTGTAACTGGGTCAATGGGGTATATGAGTTCTGTGCAAGTGCATGTAACAGGCGGGGGCAAGCATCTGCAACCCCCCTCAAGTATATATATGCCTGATCAGCATCAACAGCCGAGTCGATCTGTTCATTTGTCCATCCGATACTTAGAAATCGATATAAATCGATATCGTAATTTCGTTTTTAAGCTATTCTCTCTCGTTTTAAAAGCTGGAGTTACCAAATTTGACATTTAGCTTCTGGAATAGTTTATACAGATCAAGTATCTTTTATTAAATAGCTATCGCTGCCTCCTTCTAGCGTGCACTGCTTTTGGTATTGCTAGAGAAAAGTCCAGGGTATTCCTTAGTCGCGCACTCTTACTTCTTTTTATGCTACATTTGCAGTTGGTAGAAGAAGCTCAAGCAAAATGTCAAGGCACTCTAGAAAAACCAAATTTGTCTTTCGAATCTTTTGAGTATCAATTATTTTCCTTTTTTCACCTTTCATAAAATTTGTAAGCACAGCTTAAAGATCACCAGCGCAATCCTTAGTTTATTTAATTAAAATTAATTTGGGTTCTATTCTTCTTATCTGGATACCTGTGTAACGCCCACGTTTCAATTCGCGTGCGATCACTGTACTTGATACAAGGGGGATTCGCACAAAAAACACGAGAGCTTTAAACCCTTGTGCAGATAATCAAGTCTCTAGTTGGGGGAATTTCTAATCTGACCAAAAGCTGTAAATTCCCAATCTTCAACGCACTCCAATCAGACTTGAATTTGACTTGCAGAGGGTCTTTTGATTTTCCCAGCTGGTATGCAACGCTTTAAAGAAGGCAATTGCTAAAGTACAAATTACACATGTATATATATGCTCGATCAATAAATACCCCTCAGCCGAGACATTCTCTGAACAAACATTGCTAAAAAATTGGGTCTTTATTTGCTTTGCTGCTGAAAGGGTATCTAGTCTTCGGCATACCGCAGCAAGCGTTTCTTTCTCGTTTTCAAGTACCAAAATACTTCAAACAAGTGTCAATGTCTGAACGAAACCTTTTCAAATAGTTCTTATTTCAATCAAAGTTAGTTTATATTTTAATAGAAAATTAATAAAATTACAAATCCAATAACTTTTACTTAGTTTACTTAAAAACTTTGTTGACAACAATTCAAAAAAAAAAAAAAATAAAGAAATTGTATTGTTAAAAGCTGATCAATTAGATAATTAGTGCAATAGAAATGAATCACACTGTAATGAATGGGTTGGATGAATGCACTGTGATTCACTGTGACGGATACACACACACACACACACACACATGCACGCACACATCAATAGCGATTACACAAATGAATTAGCTAAGCAAATCACGCGTCACAATTCATCAAAAGAGATCATAAATTGACGATTATTGGTTGCGCTCTCGCTCTCTCGCTCCCTCACTTGCTCTCTCGCTCTCACGATGCGGTTCTGGCTCTGCTGGCGCTATCGGGCGCTCTCTTTATTACGTACATGCTGCTGATATGTTTCCATGACCTTAACGCGACGCTTACTCCAATTGGACGCACACACACACACACACACACACACACGCACGCACGCACACAAGCACAAACACGCGCACGCACTGAACGCGCAAGAGCGAAGCGCTGAAAAACGTTGTCTTGTTGTTGTTGGTTTTTGTTTTCTAATTGGTTTTCTTTTTTTTTTTTATATATATTTTTATTGTTGTTTTTCGTTTTAGATACTTTTCGTAAGCTTTTTGTGTTCACAGCTTTTGGGCAAAACAGTAAAAAAAAAATATTGATATGCATATATATTAGACAAAAAAAAACTACTCAGAACTACACCAATAAATAATCTGTAGAAATATGCGCCGCTCTTGGGCTTTATTTATTTTTTAGCTTTTGTTTTTCATATTTATTTATTTTGTTATTTTTTTAATATATTTTTTTTTTTTGTGTTGCCTTCTTGTCTTAATTGTCTATAGTTCTGCTTCTTGCTTTTGTGTCGTGGCTTTTGCTGTGTATTTATTAGAAATTGTATTTGATCTGAACATTGAATTTTCACAGCGACGCGTCGCGTTTCATATGGTTGGCTCCAATTGGTATATTTCGGATACCAATTGGATAGATGGCACGGCCAATTGGACTATTGACTATTGAGTGCGCGCTGCTTCTGTTGTTGCGTCCGTTTTCGTTTGGCTTTGGCATTCGTCGAACGCGCTTTCATTTCAGTTTCACTCAAGCGACTGGCGACTGGCGACTCGCGAACTGGCGCAAAAATCAAATATAAACACAAATTTAGATACAGTTATTCGCTAGCCAAAGCGCACAAAGCTTGCGTGCGAGCGAGCGAGCGAGCGAGCTGAATGAACGTGTGCCCGCCGCTCTCGCTGCTTACGCTCGGCGCTCTCTTCATTTTTAATTACTCTCTCTCTCTCGCTCTCTCTCGCATGGTCAGTTTCGCGGCGGCAGACAAACGGGCGTTTTGTTTGCAAGCGTTCGCTCTGAGCAGCAGCAGCAGCAGAGCTGCAGCAGAAGCAGAGCAGCAGCAGCAGCAGCAGACCATATGCCATATTGAAGAATTCGTAGAAACTGCCGTTGCACCTGATTACTCCCCCCCTCGCTAGAGAACGCCCCCGCCCATCCAACAGCATTTGCCTTGCACAACTTTTTTGTTTCAGCATTGCTGCTGGCCAGAGCGCATGCTATAATTATAAAAGGCCTGTGCTATAATTATAACGGGGGCCAAAGACAACACACAGACACGCCCATATAAATAGAAAAGCTTGCCGCACCGATAATACATAAACATAATAATAATCATAATAATAATAACGATGTTGTTGTCTTCAGTTTTCTCCGTAAATCTTTTTCGAGCGAATGGGAATCAATTCAAAATTCACCCAAAATGAATGCAACGAGTACTCGCATTTGAGGCACTTCAAATTCAAATAAGTCATTCAGAGCATGTTCTATAAATAGACCTATTTGGTGATAATGTATTGGGTTTATAGCAAAAACCATTTGAAATCAAGTAAATATCCCCAAAACGAATAACGCAAGTGCTAGCAGTTGCTATAATTGAATGTAATTGAATTAAATCATTCGATAGATGAGTACATTTGAATATTTAATTAGTTTGTAGTATGAGTATGTATGGAACATTTGAATATTTTATGTGTATTTCAGGCATACACGTGAATAGCATATGCATGAGCTTTTCTTGGGAATTTATGGTCTTAAATGAATGAATGAATGAATACATGTGAGTGTAAGAAGCTATGAAAAGAGTAACTATGAAAATTGTTTGAGTTGTAGCTGTGTGTAGCATATCAAAAGAATGAATACGTTGATATGAATTGGTGCAAAGATACGGGTATGAATGAGAATGTAGAGTATGTTTGAGTATGCGACGAACTTGTATGAGCAAATATGAACGAGTAGCTATTTGAATATGTTTGTGTATGTGATTTAAGCTAATGAGTATGAGTATAATTGTGAGTATGAGTATGCAATGAATGAGCACCAATAAGAATCTTTGTTTGCAATGAGTGTGTCACGAGAGTACTTTAAATGAGTATGAGTATGAGTATGAGTATGAGAATGAGTATGAGTATGAGTATGAGTATGAGTATGAGTGTGAGTATGAGTATGAGTATGAGTATAAGTATGAGTATGAGTATGAGTATGAGTATGAGTATGAGTATGAGTATGAGTATGAGTATGAGTATGAGTATGAGTATGAGTATGAGAATGAGTATGAGTACGAGTATGAGTATGAGTATGAGTATGAGTATGAGTATGAATACGAGTACGAGTGTGAATACGACTACTATTGTGAATACGAGTACGAGTACGAGTACGAGTCCGAGTACGAGTATTTCAATTAACATGGGTATAAGTATTTTGGAGTACATTAACAAATACCTCTAAGACATTTAGCATGTATGTTTGAATAACTTTGAATATTTTCGAATAAGTGCAATGAGTACAATGAGTATGTTGTTGCATGTAAGCAACGAGTTTGAGTATGTGAAAGATCCTTTGAGTATGCCATGAGTATGTGCTGCATATGTAATGCGTACATTTAAGTATCTATTAGATGTTCATCCAGTTTTAGTTAGTTCACAATTTCAGCAGAACCCCCCCCCCCCCCCCCCCCTACTATCCCCATCACCGTCTAATTAGCACAGTGCCCGTCGCCTTCCAACCATTGTGGCTAATTTACAATTTGCTCGTGCCACCGATTTTTATAAATATAACAACAACAACAACAAAGCTGCCAAAGAGCTGTGATTAGTTTTTGCCATTTGTTTTAGTTTTACAGTTATAGTTCTTGCACTCGCCATCTCTTTCGCTCGTTTCTATTTGTGTGCATATATATATAAACAATTTGTTTCTTTTTTTTTTTGTGTTCTTTTGTTAAAAATAAAACCCACAGAGTTTATAAAACACAAAAATAAAAATAAATTCAAAGGAAAATGTAAAAATAACAAAAACGGCAAGCGTTGAGGCAACAAGGCAAACGCAGCGGTGGGCGTGGCGAGGGAGGGGAGGGGAGGGGATGGGATGGGGGGGGGGGGGGGGGGGTTGTTGGGCAGGCAACACTTTAGCAACTACAATATGAATAAGAAGCAGAACACTTGAACCAAAAATACGAAAAATTCAAAAGAAAACAAAAACACACATGCACACACACACACGCACGCACACACACACACACACGCACACACACACAGGCCGCAATGCACAAAGTAAGAAGCCAAAAATAAAATCTGGCTATAAATTGTATGCAACAAGGCAATCGCTAGCGGGTCCGGGGCGAAAGAGGGGGGAGGGGAGGGGGGGAGGGGTTGGTCGGCCGCCTGCTGCACATGTTGCTGCTGTTGGGCCATGAGGTCGACTGCGACGTCGACTGCGACGTCGACAACAAAGCTGTGCAGCTACAGTGAGCACTCGCTGTGCGCGCACTAGCTTGAAAAGAACTCCAAAAAAAAGCTAACTTAGCACAATTTGGCAAAAAAGCAAAAAAAAAAAGAAGCTAAATCAGTTTACGGCTGACGATCTCTGCGATTAGCCGAATGCAGCTGAAAAATAAGCTGAGCTGGTCACACTGCGACTTTTGCCTTTGCAGGTATATCTAGCCAGGCCACACTTTACGCTCTCTCCCACTCTCTCTCTCTCTCTCTCCCACTCTCTCTCTCAGCCTCGCTCTCTTGGCTAGCATTTGATGTATATTTTTAGCACAATCGCCGTTTTATTTAAAAAGAAAAGCAAAAGCAAAGGCAAAAGGCAAAAGTCAAAAAAGAATGCGCAAAATACTCGGTACATATTTTCGTAGAGAAAACAATAAATATAGAATCATTAAGTTGTACACGCGTTTAAATTTAGAACCAGAAGAAAATAAGCAAGAATCTGGCAGCAGGCAGCCGTCGGCTATAGGCGACTGCGCGATGCTCTTTCTCTCGTTTGACTCTAAGCTGACTCGCGAACTGTGCCTTTGGCATATCTATACACTGCACCTCTGCCCCCTTGAAAATGTGTAAAAAGGGTATATTGGTTTGTTGCAAGTGCCGAGGGGACGCCCATTAGGTATATATATTCCTGATCAGCATCAAGAGCCGCGTCGATCTAGTCGATGTTCGACTGGCATTCGGTTTATCTGTCCTTTAAGAGCTAGAGCTATGAACTTTTGAACGAAGATTCTCCCAGTTCTCTTTCAGCGGATCGATAACTTGCCCCGATGCAATCGATAAAAATCGTTTGCGATATTTCGCTTTTTTGAGCAAATCTCTTTCGTTTTAAGAGCTGGAATCACCAAATTTGAAATGTAGAATAGTTTATGCAAATCAGGTATCTTTCATTTTATAGCTGCCCCTCCCACCCCCCCCCCCCTGCTGCATTTGTTGTTCGTAGAAGATAGAGGGTATCCACTAGTCACGCACTCCCGAATAGAGCACAAATACGTCTTTTTATGCAACATTTGGAGTAGGTAGAAAAAGGTCCAGGGTATTCCCCAGTCGGTTCTTCCCTACCCGAACGCTCTTACTTGCTTTGGCTTTATCATCAACTGAGTTATCAAATATACCTATATATATATATATATATATATATATATATAGACTCCATTTCACTTTGTGAACAGGAGCGCCATACGCCTGCTCGAATTGTGCATACCCTAGAGATATATATTAAGCAGTAGGCAAAATAGACAAGTAAGAGTATCGCTAGTCGTGTAGACCCTACACAAAAATAGACAGAATCCAGTGCGAAATGTTATCTCAAATCAAATATTTCCAAATTTCAAGTCTTTAGCTTTAGGACGAACAGAGAAACATGGGTAGATGGACTCAGCCCGACATTCTGATCAGGAATATTTAATATATATATATACATATACACACATATATATATTGCACTGAAACCTTCTTATTGGAGAAAGTGTTGAAAGGTTTTCTGGCAGAAAGTTCCAAATTCTGTTCGATAGGCTTTGAACTTATTTTCAAAGCCGCGCAAAGCCGGATAATATACGCTTTATGCAATGCATAAACAAGTTTCAGCAATACATAAAAACAAGGAAAAGTAAGGAAAATGCGGCACACGACAATGCGGACATGAATGCTAATGATATTCCGGACGATACTGATCATAATGATGTCGCCAGACGAGGACGAGGAGGAGGAGGAGGACGAGGAGGAGGAGGGGGACGAGGAGGAGGACGGGCAGACGGGTCAAGTAAATCGAATGAAGATGAAGATCCAATATGGCATTCCCTCTATACTCTATACTCTACTCTATACTCTATACTCTATACTCTATACTCTATACTCTATACTCTATACTCTATACTCTATACTCTATACTCTATACTCTATACTCTATACTCTATACTCTATACTCTATACTCTATACTCTATAGGAGGAGGACGGGCAGACGGGTCAAATAAATCGAATGAAGATGAAGATTCGATATGGCATTCCCTCTATACTCTATACTCTATTCTCTCCCCATTCCCCATTCCCCTTTGCCCCTTTCCCATTCAAGCTGTGGCCAACAAGCGCTGACAATGGCAGCAGAAAGATTGACAGACAGGCCGAACAGGAATCGGGACAAAGAAATAGCTCAGGTGGTTGCTTGCCAGGCGAAACTGCGAAATAGAGCCAACAAAAATATATAGAAAAAAAAAACAAAGTAAATAGTACAACAAGAAAACAGTGTGCACGACTAGCTGATACCCTGTACACAGACTTGAGCTGCCGCAAGGCAATGTCGCTTCAAATAATTATTGATTTTCTATCGATATTTATCGATATCACAATATGGTAGCAGCTATCGATAAAACTTGTTCCACGTTTTATATACGAGCATATGAATATGCTTAAAATATCGGATTTAACAATCGATATTTATCGACTTTACATATAATTCACATAACTGATGCATCAGAGAGATCGACTAAGCTCGCCGATCTGATCAAGTATATATATATACTGTATGGGGTTGGGGCTATAAAATCAGTATACCCTAGGCATTTGCTAAAAGTACAAGGTATACGAAAACGCAGCTGTACGAGCTGTTGCGGAGGCACTAGAAAGCAGTCTACGCAGTTGGAATAATCTATTTTGGTGTGAGTGTGTATGTGAGTGTGAATTGGTGTGTGTGTGTGTGTGTTAATATCGATTCGTGTCGATTGAAACAGCTGCCTTTTTTTTTTTCTAAATGTTATGTGGCAACTTAATTTTGTGATAAATCTTGTTATTTCGCACTGATTGGAAAAGCTTAACTAAGTACGCAGCGGACTATAAAACGTTCAAGGATGCGACACAAAGAGGAATACGAAAAAACTTCTGCTTTCGAGTGTGAGAGATGCCTTACGCGCAAGACGAGTCTTTCCGCATTTATCTCTTCTACTAGTTAATAACTCAACAAGGGAAGGTTTATAGTGAATACCTGGCATGACTTGGCCCAGTGTTTCGTGTGTTTCTATGCCCAAATAATTACCTCTAGGATCTGCTGATCAATGTCAACTTGACGCGGCTTAAAGTCCAGCGATATGACGCCCGGCGTAATGTGCAACAATCGCTCATCGTTTCCGGCTTCGGGCGGCAGATCTGTGAAGAGAGCAGAGTAAATAAATGAAAACTATAATAAATGTATATGGTAACATGTATTGCCCGGTTTTGCGCGGGCTAACTTTTAAGCATAAACGATTATTGGTTTTTCCATTTTCCCATTTTAAATAAAAAGTTTAGTTTATTGTTTAAACCTATAATAATGAAAATAATATACAAATAAGTTTCAGTTCGGGTGATAAAAATAAACTTTCTTTCATTCAACTTTGGTCTAAGCCCGTTTCAGCCTATTTTGAATGGATTCGGGCTCAAACATCCATCATTTTTTTGTGATATTTATTATATATTATGTTTTTTATGAACCTATCATAGTTGATCTAGAACTGTCCAGGAATAAAGGTTAAAACGACTGCGATGAAAATTCTTTAAGAAAAACTCTTGAAATATCAATTTTTTCTAGAAATCCGTGAAGAAACAATTAAATTTAAAACATTTTATAATCATATTCATAAATTTCTCATTTGTTATTTGTTGTATAGAAAAGAAACTACTTTCGAACGGAAGTACCGTAATTTTCAGGCAGGCCCTTTATCGATAGTATCGTAACACACATTTATCGATATATGCAGATGCGAGCTATCGCAATATTTATGTTAGAAAAGCACACAACACAATGTAAACCAAGCAAAAACAACAACAAAGCAAAGACGCGCGACTGTTTTTGAACGCAGCTTGTGTGTGTGTGTGTGTGTGTGTGTGTGTGTGTGTGTGTGTGTGTGTGTGTGTGTGTGTGTGTGTGTGTGTGTGTGTGTGTGTGTGTGTGTGTGTGTGTGTGTGTGTGTGTGTGTGTGTGTGTGTGTGTGTGTGTGTGTGTGTGTGTGTGTGTGTGTGTGTGTGTGTGTGTGTGTGCTCGGCCAATTAGTTGATTATATAGATAAGGCTGCGCTTATCAGACGCTTTACGAAAATTCATCTAAAACGTATTTTAACATGTGCTCGCCCTCTCTCTCGCTCTCGCTCCACTCTCTCTAGCCCCCTCCCCCCTTCGAACACCACCGCCTCATTGACTGGCTCCAAGCACGCCGAGGCCGCATAGTCGAGGCGTGCATGTGTGTGTGTGTGTGTGTGTGTGAGTGTGTTGGTATGAGTATTGATGTATCTCTGTAGCTATTTTTAGTAACCTTGTACAAGTTTACAGCGATTACATGGACCCGGTCCGAGAGCTTTTTTAGATAACCGCTCTCCGTGCTGCGCGCACGTGACGACGTCGACGTCAACGTTGACGTCGACAGCGACAGCGACAGCGTTGCCGTAGTCAACATGAACGACAACGACAAAGGCCACACAACAGCAGACCAACGACCAGTTCCGTTTGGCGTTGTCTTCGCTTCATACGGCACACCCCCTGCCCGCCCTGGGATCGCCTTCTGCTACACGTTTTAGCACGGAGCAACTAATTTGATTTGCTTTTGTGGCGCACAAACAAATGCCAAAAAAAAAGAAGCAACAAATAAATCAAAAAAGAAAAAATTGAGAAAAACTGGCGTTGCTTCTGCTTTTGCTGCGGCTGCTGCTGCTGCTGCTAATGGACACAAGGCAAAGTGCAGTAAAAAAAAACACACACACACACACACAAAATGTTCATTGATAAACTGGCAACGAGTCAATCTGTTGCTCTCTCTCCCACGCATGTACGCTCTTTTGCCGCCCAACTTGCGGTCGCGCTCTCTCTCTCTCGGTCTCGCTCTCGCTCTCGCTCTCAGTCGATCAGCAATTAGACATACAGCCGGACTGGACTAATTGCGCGCATATTTATGACTAAGCAAAATGTCCAATTGGATTGCTGCTCGAAAGACAACAACGTTAATGTGCATAGACACACACACACACACATTTATGTACATGTGTGCGTGTATAGTTGCTACCATTTGCTGACTCTCTGGCAAGGCAACAAAATGAAATGAATAAATCAGCAAGTAAGGCAAAGTCTAGTTTTGGGCTGCTGAGAGGTGGCTGGCTATATATAGAAACAATAGCAAAAGGCAAAACCAATAGCAACAACAACAATGGCGAAATACTTACACACATGCATACATATGCTCACATGTTCAACGTCGAGTCGAATGCATGCTCAGTCGTACATATGCATGTGTGTGTGTGTGTGTGTGTGTGTACTGTATAAATAAATTTCTATGCAAGTATGTGTGTCTATGCAAAAGGCTGACCGAATAGGCCGTGACCTGTTGTTCTATATATAGCAGCTATTATAAATCGTGCATAGCTATGGGAGTATAAATTTAGAAGCAGCAACATCGGCGGAATCAGCAATAGCAAAAACAACAACAACAACTCAACTGAACTGAACTCGCAGCGCACATTGCACAAAAACTTAACCAAAAAAAAAAAAATCAAATCAAATACAAAGCGAACCTGTGTAGTCGGCCATATGATACCCTGTAAAGTAACAATTGTACTGTGAAGGTATATATTTTTATATATACGCATGCTTATAGAATATAATAACTGTATTATTTACATATATGTATATATATATATATATTTATTGTTGGTGAGCACGTTTATATATACACATAAAAACATAGCGGCTTTTAAGCAACTGCATACCCCAACTGCCTTTAAATAGGGTATGTTGAAAAACATAACCAAAACACAGCAAACTGTCTGCAGGCGAGCAAGAATTAGAGAGAAAGAGAGCAAGTGCGAGAGTGTGTCATTAAGAGCGGGCGCTCGCACATGCAACAGCTGCAGCTGATGTTAATGTGTATGTGTGTGTGTGTGTGTGTGTGTTTGGTTGTTGGCTGTGTGACACTTGTAAGCAATACAGCGCAGCCGATGTGCTGCAGGTGCATGCAAAAAGTTTCTTGCCAACATGTATGTACATATGTACGCATGTGTGCATGCGTGTGCATGCATAATGTAGGAGTAAGCGAGAGCGTGCATGTTTTGGCTGATGATGATAGTGCTGTTGCTGGCGCTGCTGCGACTGCCGTCAGCTGTTTACAAGAAGTTCGAATAAGACGTGTCGTCGTCGCCAAGGTCAATTCTGTGTTGACATAGAAACCAACAGCACCAATAGGCGCAACAACAAAGCAGGCAGCACGTGTTCAAACAAGCGTTAGAAATTTTGAATTGTGTTCCAATTGGAGACCGAAGCATTTAAGCCAATTGGTATGCATGCGATAACAGCAATATGTATATGCATATGTACATATGTAGAGCTCGTAAATGGGAGTCAGTTCTGGCTCGAAAAAAACAACACAAAAACATTAACAGCAATAATAATAATAATAATAATAATTATAGGCCGACCCACTTCTCTGCTTACTTTGTTTTGAGTGATAGCAGACGACACTTGTATGCGTGTCAGTGTATGCATGCAAGCATGTGCGATCGAGTACGCCTGTGTGTGTGTGTGTGTGTGTGTGTGTGTGTGTAGGAAAAAATTTCCAGCGCGCTCGTCTAAAAATAGACACACTTTGCGGCAACAGCAATTCGGGGGCCCCTGGGGCGGGCAATATATAATATGTGGGCGTGGCTCGTTCAGTTTTGGCTTATTTCGAAGTTTTAGCTGAGAGCCCATACATATGTGCGAGTGTGTGTGTGTGTGTGTGCGCGCACACCCGCTCTCGCAATGTATGTGTGTGTGTGTGTGTGTGTGTTTCACCTTGACAAATGCAAAGCCAAAAAGCAAGAGCAACAACAACGCAGTTTAGAAACGATTACACACACACACACACACACACACACACACACACACACATACGTACACATATGTATGTACGTAGTAAACAACTGTTAAAGAAGAAGCAGCTGGTAAATGCTAAGAATGGAATTGGAAAGGGCAAATTTGGCTGGAATGGGATGTTGTTGTTGTTGTTTGTTGTTGCCTTTGTGTATTACAAATGAGGATATTATGCCATACACAAAGCTAACGATTTTATATAACGATATAAATAAGTATTCCATATGAATTCCATACAAGCAAACGCACATGCATACATACACATGCACGCATGTACATGCACACACATAGAGTATGAGAGTGAGAGAGAGGGAGAGAAAGAGGCAACAAAGTTCGGCTGTTATTCTTGGAATGCCATTATAATAACTGACAAGTGGAGGGGGGGGGGGGGGGGGGGGCTGTGGGCCTGCCAGGGTCGCAAGTGACCTTTGACAGGTGCGTCTATCTCTGGCACAAATTGCGCACCCCAATAAAACGTAGCAACTGACTTGGAATGACTTGTCAACAGTCCATGCACACACACACACACACACACACACACACACACACACACACACACACACACACACACACACACACACACACACACACACACACACACACACACACACCCTCCCCCCGGTCCACTGACTTTTAGATACCTGGCGGGAAATTTGTTTGGAAATTAATAATACACAATCATCATAAGCAATGACCTCGACTACAAGTCAATACAAATAAGACACCTGAATTTCCCGGAAATGGCGCAAGAGCAACAGCAACAGCGAGAGCGAGAGAGAGAGAGAGAGAGAGAACATTTTTACAGTGATTGCTTTTCAAAGTTAAATAAGAAACTATGAAATAAATGACTTTGACATTTAAAATTTATTGGAAAATGTGCATACATATGTATGTACATTGATATCCTTTTGCAATATTCTTCAAGTCCTGCAATTCGATAATCAACGCAATTCCAACATATGCATGCATGCATGCAAACATATGTAAGCACATACACACATGCACATGCATGCATGTACAGAATATTGGCTCCTTAACATGATATCCGTTATGCAGCAGCGCTGCTTACGATTACGAATAACATGAGATACAATTACGATGCACATTTTTTGAACAGCTGAGCAACAGGGGAAGACAACAGAGACAACGGAGGAGGGGGGGGGGGGGGGGGGGGGGGGGGGGGGGGGGGAGTGCGCTGCGTGGCTGGTCCACGTGCCGTTACAGAGCATGTTAAGAGCATTCACAATTGGTCAATGTGCAAGGGCCTGCCGCGTGTGCAGTGTGCACGTGCCCGTTGCGTTAACAGTTACGAGAGCAAGAGCAGTGGTAGGTAGAGGTGGGGCAGCCGAGCGGAATAAGTTAAAGCAGGACGCAAGAAATAAAGGGCCATAAGATTGACGCTGGCGCCGGCGCCGGCGTCGGCGTCGTCGTCATTGTTACCCATTTCAAAGGCAAGTAAATTTTTGTTGTACTATAAATAGAACAAAATCGATAAACGAATGTTGTTCGTTTTGTTATTGTTGCACACACAAACAAACAGACACAGAGGCAGCACTCGTAAGCGCCGGCAAGAGAGAGCGACCAGCCAGCTCCAAAAAAAAAAAGCGAGAGCTAGAGCGAGAGAGGGTAAAAGCGAGAGAGCGCCAGTCCCGCAGTCATGTTGTTATTACACGTGCTTGGCATTGACAGTGGCGGCAGCAACTTGAGCTAAAAGCTGCAGCCTTACCCAGTCAGAACTGTAAACCAACTTCCTTCCACGTTTGCAAGTGCACACGATACAGTGTTGGCCACATATATATGTACGCTTTTTTGCCATGAAACTTCTGTCGCATATTCTGGCATGGTAGTTTCATTTTCTTTGGTTATATTTAATGTCTGCTTGGATCTATGCTGTTTATTATTATTTATATATGGAATTGACAATTGCCAATAGAATTTTCTCGAAATTTTCCTACAGAAGTCACTGTTAACTTTTCCATGCTGTAAATGCGAAACTATTTAAATCCTTGCATGACCTGCATACATACATATATTCTATATTCATTTGTTAGCTCTAATTAAACGGCCAGCACTGTACGTGTTCCTTTACGCACCAACATAACATACTCACGCTCTCACACTCACGTGCTCTCTCTTTTGAGTGACATTCGCAGTCAAAAACGCAAGCACAACCACATGATGGTGGTTTGAGTCTCGTCTGCCGCTGCCGCTGTCGCTGCCACTGCCACTGCCACTGCCACTGCTGCGCTGACACCCGACCATGGACAATGTTCTTGTTGTTTAGCCGCTGTCGTTACGCGCTGCTCGCTGCCGCTGCCGCTGCAAAGGCAAAGGCAAAGGCAGTAAAAGCTGCGCTCGGCTGCGCTGCGTTGAGTAGGCAGCGTTGTTTGCTTTTGTATTCTTATTAACAGTTATTTTTGGAAGGCGCGCACACACACACACACACACACAGCTGCATTCTCCCACTCTCACCTCTTTATATGTGTGAGATTGTGTGTGTTAGTGTGCCATAAGCTTTGTTCGTGCGCGCCCCGTTACATATGTACTCAATTGTTATTACCCTGCAGCACCGCCGACCCCTGAATCAGGCCTGAAGGCAGGCAAGCAGGCAGGCAGGCAGGCAGGCAGGCAGATTCCCTTGCATGCGTCTCAGCCGTGAATTGAACACAAGCATGTTTTGGGACTTCATGACCTTAGATGACTTTTGGCATGAACACCTTGCCTGAATTCATGCCGAAACTCATTTAATGTGATCCAATGCGAATTCGTGACTGATTTCGTGCGACTTTTGAGTGATTTCATTGCTGAATTAGTAACAAAAATCATGAACGCTTTCATAATTGATTAAACAATAGGGAAACTCACATTCTATGACCTATCAATATTTATTTAAAATTATGCTAGTATTTAGTATTGCCTATTGGAAAATTATGAAATGAAACATGAACATTTTACGGGCACAAAAAAAAAGTCTTGTGTTTTCCATTCTAGCAAAAGAAAAGTATGACAACTGTCGCATTCGTTTTGAATTATCTGTTAACTATATAAAGAGGAAAGAGGAAGAGGCATTCTTCTTCTTTCCGTGTCTTTTGAATTGGATGCAATTCACACTTTTCAACACTGAGATCAGGCACGAATTAGAACAATCGGTCCTGCAGGGTATTGCCACGCCGACCACGCCCTCACGCCCGACCAAACGGTACATAGAGAATGACTTCACTTACCACGTATTGGTATTCTATCGTCAGGACTAGACATTTTGCATGGATCTGTAAGACACAAGAAAAGAAAAGAAAAGAGTTGTTTAGTTGGTTAGTCCAGCAACAAAAACGGGCTGTCCAATTGGGACAATTACCAATTGGACTTATTTGGTTGGCTTTCCAGTTGGTAAACGTTGCTGCTTATGAGCTGCAGCGGCATATGTTAAACACTTACAAATGCCAAAATGAATCATTTGCACAAAAATCTCAACTTTCAGGCCATTCACAATAGGCTGGGTTTTCTTGTGTGACAAATGTAAATTTCCAGCAAAATGGGCGACAATAATTCCAATCAGAAATAGTGATGCGGCGAATTGAAAAATCTGTACCATTTGCAGTTGCTTACAAATTCATTGAAAAATGCATACATACATACATATATACAGTGCACACATACAAACATGCGTATACAATCTGTGCGACAGATTAGCGGAGCCACAACAATGGGCAACAACAACAACAACAAAGAAGAAGAAGAAGCAAAAGAAGGCGAATGAGAATAGCAGACGTCACATTCTGATAAGCAACGGCTACAGCGATCAGAGCGAGAGCGCATATTAATGATAGTCCGTTAGTATGCTTTTGCTGCCACTTGTGCTTCTTCTTCTTCTTCTTTGACTTTGTCTGCTTCTTCTTTGCACTTGGCTCAGATTTCGGAAAATTTTGTGATTTGATAATCGTACATTTATTTTGTTGTTGTTGTTCCGTTATATTTATTGTGTTTTCGATATCTGTTGCTAATTTCAAATGCCAGCTGAATGATTCGGCCTATCTCACCACCACCACCACCACCACCCCCCCCCCCCTCCCACCACACTTCCAGCTGTGAATGGAAAATGTTGAAAACCTGCAAATTACCAAGCAAAATACAAATTCTGCTTATATTGCGACTCGCATGAGGACTTCGTGTGCGTGTGTGTGTGTGTGTTTGTTTGGGTTGCATTCGAATTGGGTCACAGGTGCATTAAATGAGTGCACGCTTATTCTGTGGAAGTGGGGGGAAGTTGCCCGCTCTGCCCCCCCAATGACCTTCAACAGCGTTAAAACAATTAGAAAACCCAAAACCAAGCAACAGCCTAGCTTGGCCTTAGCTCCTGAGCCACCCACACACACACGCACACGCACACATACATGTACGACGCACACAATTTCCGCTCACTAATTACAAAAACAAACAGAAGACGAAGAAGAAGAAGAAGCAGCAGCGGCAGCGGCGACAACTGAATAAAGTGTAGAAAAAACAAACAGTAAATAAGTATGCATGCATGTATGCATGTATGTATGTATGCATGTATGTGTGTGCGCATATAATACATAAGAATCAAACGGAACAGACGTCCAAAATGAGAAATGTGAAGCGTTCCAATTGGAATATGTCATTTGTTATTTTGCTTCAACGACGTCTCTGCCTGAAGCGAGGGGGGTGGGGTGCGGCATTAAATGCAATTATAATTAAACGTCAAAGAAAATGAATATAATAAATACATAGAAATAAATAAATTCAATCAAATGTATTAATCAATATAAATGTAATTAAAGCAGCCAAGTGCAACAACAACAACAACAACAACAACAATAAAAGTGGGAATTATATTTCTATGTGTGCAAACGTGCTGCAGCAGGGCATACTCGACTAGCAGTTGTCCTGTACTTTGCGTACTTTTCTTGAGCGTCTTAACGAACTGTATTTTTTTTTTTAAAAATATTTTTATTTTTATAAAATGCATTTGTTATAACTATTCTTCTTTGATTCGTACTCTGTAAATTTAATCATTTCGCTTAACACCTGTTGCACATACCCTATGATTTTCAAATTTTGCTTAAAAACGGCTGTTAATTTCTCAATTGTTGCACAAAGTTTGAGCAATATTTAAAAAGTTAAGTCTATGAACAAATTTTTTCAACATATTAAAGCGGAAACTGCGGAATTCGCTATTTTATGGCTTCCACAGAAAAAATTAGTCGGAATTAAGCATTCATAGAAAAAAAGCATTTCTAAGCTTTAAGACTAAAAGGGGATTAAATATTATATTTCTCTCGTCTTTGGATACCCTTGGCATTAAATTTGGAAAGAGACTTTTCCAACACTACAAAGTATATATTATCTTAAAAAATATCAAAAAGGTAAAGAAAGTAAAGGGATAGGGTATAATCATGAAATGTACTAGAAAGAGACTTTTCCAACACTATAAAGTTTAGATATATTCTTAAACAATATCAAGAACCGAGTTTATATAGAAATATCCCTTTGTCTGCTTCGTTCAAATACTTTTACAAGACTTTTTTTTTTTGAAGGACTTTCTATGGGAAGAATTGGTAGATATATGGGTATTTTTCTTAGATACAATACAATATTCTGTAGGGCTTATTTTTTTACAAGAGTTCTTCAAGAAACTTGACAATTACCAGCTTTACATATATATGTATTTTTTTTTCATATTTTACATAACTGTAAGCCAAGGGTATTTAGTCTTCGGCGTGCTGAAGATAGTTATGCTACATATTTCTACAGAAAATTATATGAAATCTGGCAAATGGAAATGCGTCAAAGCCTGGAACATAACGCTACCAATTTGATGTGGAAAACCCAATTTTCAGAATATGAAATTTTCAAAGAAAAACTCTAGTACTTTACATTCCAGCTGTATTCTCAGAAACGTGACATACGCAAATATAAATTACAGGGTATATGCACATGGATCAACAATTGCATTTATGCACCTGAACTCTCTCTCTCTCTCTCTCTCTCTTTCGCTCTGATGGAGCTTTTGCCTTGTTTAAAATGTAGAACGTAGAATCTGAATTCGTGGAAGGCTCACGGCGAAAACAAACACACACACACACACGCACACGCACACACACATGCATGCATATGTGCGTAGGTATGTAAATGGCTTTTGCGTTTTTGCATTTTGCATTTCTGGTTTGCATAAATATTTGGTGCGCACTCAACGAAACTGAAATTGAAGCGTGTGGCGAGAGAGCATCAGAAAATATTCGCATTCCAATTACATCGATTACACGCATTCTCCAATCTCCCCCCTCCCTCCATCCATCCCACACTACCCTCTCCCATTCTCTCTTTCACACACACCAGCACCCAGATAAAAAAAAGAAAACAAAAGCGCAACAAGCGGCAGCGACGTCAGCAGCGGCAGCGGCAGCAGCAGCATCGTTGTGCGTAATGAAATGACAATAAAAATCAAATGATGTTTGCGCTCTTCTTTACTCGCCTAGTTCTTCCTCTTCCCCTTCTACACAATAGCAGCGACGTTGACGCAGCTTCTAAGAGCAATCCCGAAATCGCGCGTCACACAAACACAATGCCAATTGCTCTAAATGCTTTTGTTGTTCCTCTTCTTCATCATCTTCTTCTTGCTGTTGTTGTTGCTGCTGCTGTTATGCTAGCTGTTAATTTACAGCAACACAGCTTACGTACAGATGGCAATTGGACAAAAAAAAAAAAACGCTAACGCTGACGTCTGTCGTAGCTTAAATGGTGCGCTGCCGCGCGGCAAAAGGAACAGAAATGTTCTGCCGCCATTTCCAGTGTTGATAACCAAAATGACAAAAGTGAACCTAACCAGTTCAATGCGCTTGGCGTTGCTCCCAGCTGCTGCGGCTGCGGACGCTGCCGATGCTGCTGGGTGCTTTTTTTCTTTTCTTGTGCGTTTACGCCAGCAGCGGCAGCGCTGCCAACTTCATTACAACGACAACGACACACAACAAATAGCGAGACTCGAAAATCGCCAAATACATACACAACAACAACAACAACATCAGAGGCAGATGCAGTGGCAGTGGCAGCGGCAGCGGCAGCAGCACTTCATTTAGCACGCACACACTTGTTACATAAATAACGGCGAAATGAGTGTGAGTGGCAAAAGGAAAAGAAAACAACAAGACGAAAAAGAAGTCGTCGTCATGCTGAACCTGAGCAACGGCGGCTGCTCAGCGGACACGCACACACACACACACACACACACACACACACACACATACACACAAGCACACGCATGCCTGTGATCTAATAAGAATTTTTGTTGAATTGGACAAAAACACACACACACATATGCTAACTTACAAACATACATACCTCTTCAAAGTGGCGCGAACTGCTCCGACTCGGGCCTATAAATGTTGTTGATTTTTATTTTTGCTGTTGTTATTCTTGTTGTTGTTGTAGTTGTTATTATTACCGCTGCCAACGCGCGCGACGCACACGCACACGAACGCACGCTTTTCCAAAACTTGTGTTGTACAAGAACAAAAAAAACTTTTCACAATGCGAAAATTATGATAAAAAAACCAACAAAAAGAAAAAAAAAATAATATATACTTTGGCGAAAAAAAAAAATAACGTAAAAGCAACACAGAAACTAAAGACAGCGGCTGCTTTGCTCTTGCACACTCTCTCCCTCTCGCTCGCTCGCTCGCCACTAGCCCAGCAGCAGCGCACACATGTGCAATATGTGTGTAGTGTGAGTGCGTGTGTATGTGCGCACACAAACGTTAAAAGCGACGTCAACGACGAATTCACGACTTTTTGTGTGCGTGTGCTTTTATTTTATTTTTTTTTTTACTTTATTTTATTTTTTGTCACTTCACATATTCACAAACAGATTCGCATTTTTTTTTTGTTGTCGTACTAGTATTTAGTACTAACACAACTAAAAATGTACATATGCATGTACAACTGCTGCTTATTTTCTTATTTTTTTTTCTCTCTTTCTCTCTTTCTCTTGTTGTTGTTGTTTCGCCCACAATTTGGTCAGCTTTCGGTTGTATATTTCGCACTTGCTTTTTGCCACTGCGACAGTTGTTGTTTTGCTGCTGCTGCTGCTGTTGTTGTTATTGATGCTGCTGCTGCCACTTTACTGCAGTCGTAACTCGTAGTTGGAAACAAAAAAAAAATCCAAAAAAAAAGACAACAAAAATTACCCAACACTAGTGCAACAACAGCTGTTCACACTAGTATTTAAAAAAAATAATTTTTTTTTTTTTTTGTTTGTTTGTTAACTCGAACGTACTTCTTGGCTGGCTCAAATCGAAATTGTATGTCAATTTATTTGTTGAGCTCTTCTTGCTCGACGAAGCAAAAGCGAGTAGAAACAACCGTCTCCGACAAAGAAGAGCGTAAAAATGAACAACAAAAATGTGAGAGCAGCCGCTATCGATACTTATCGCTGCAGAAAACGCAGCACAAACCGTTGCCCATCGATAGGCGGCAATCAGTGCTGCTACCAGCCAATGCAGTCGCTTTCAAACACTGCACACATGGTTGTATTTGACGCAAAGAGCGCGCGCGCGCAATCAATTCAATTTAAATATTTCAAACAAATGCATTTTGTAAGGACATTTATTCGTAGCGCATGGAAAAAAAAAACGAAAAAAAAAGAATTATTATTTATGATGATGAGCGTCGTTTATATATATGTGAAATGAGTGAAATGGTTCGCTTGGACTCAATAGAAACCATAGTGACCATGATGATACGGATAGTAGCCATGATGGCCGCCATAATAGGGCGCCGCATGCTGCACATACTCATAGCCGCCATAGTAGGGCGCGGCTAGGCCATAGCCGCCATAGTGTCCATGTCCATGTCCATAGCCACCATAGCCGCCATAGCCGCCATAGCCATGCCCGTAATGTCCATAGCCAAAGCCGTAGATGCCGCGTTTCTCCGTCTTCTTCTCGTCCAGCGTTGCGTCCAGCTCAGACGCTGGCGCTGCTCCGGCATCGGTTGGCTCCGCGTTCGCTGCCAGACAGCTGACCAGGCACAGGGCCAGCATTAAGATGACACACTGCAAAAGCCAAGCGGCGTTTAGAGCTAATCCTAATCCTGCTGCTCCCAATCCTGCTGCTGCTGCTGCTGCTTACCAGATATTTCATGTTGAGGGCGACTGCGACTGCTGCTGATTGGGCTGCTGGCACAAACTGATTTGTTGTTTGTTTGCCACAAGCGCAGCGTTTTTATAGTTGTGCTACAGTTTGCAATTATGCAAAAAATAAAAAAGAAGACGCGAAATTAATAGAGAAAAACAATAACAATAACAATAACAAAAAGCTCAAGCAGCAGCGATTGTTGCAGTTGCCGCATTGAATGCATGACGGGCCGCAGCTGCAGCGAAGCCCAGATACAGTAAACACTACACAAACGGACAGCCCAGCGCCACGTGAACGAGATCCAGATACGTGTCCTTTAAATCTGATCTTTTTAAGCCAAAATGCCATTTTTTTTTTTTATTAGAACATAAATGATGCAAAATTTGCATGGCTACAAACTGGCAAAAGAAAAAGCGCTGGTTCGCTGCCACAATTTGAACCAGTTTGAACCAGTTTCTAGGTCTAAATGCAGAACATATATTATTATTATAAGAACATAAATTATGCATAAATATCATTGCTGCAAACTGGCAAAAGTAAAAGCGCTGGTTCGCTGTGCGCAGTTTGAGCCAGCGTATCTGGCTCAACTCGACTTTCGGTTCAGATGTTCTTAGAGCTTTTAAGTAGAGAATCGAACTGGTTCGGTTCACAGAAATTGCGGCCTGTTCGCTTTAGGGTGCACTCACTGTACTGCTTGCAGGCAGCTCATCGCTGGCCGGGCCCAAAAAGGTCAGCTTGTGCTGCAGCCAGCCGGAGATGGAGACGGAAACTTGGCAGTTGCTGCTTTGGGCCAAGTGGGCGTGGCAACTAACGTTTTTGGCGTATAGAACGCCGGACAAGAGTTGCGCAACAATTAGGGGTCAACAAAGAGAGAGAAAAAACTTCTGCTTGGGCAATGGGCAAGACGGAAGCTGGTCAATAGTGCCACATGCCGCATGCCGCATGCCACATGACACATGCCACATGCCACATGACACACTTAGAGCGTGGCAGAGGATCGGGTGTCGTGGCTTTCACTTGACATGCGATACATCGGCTGCTGCAACATGCCACACGCAACATGCAGCATGCAACATGTTGACAAACAGCCAGATGGATTACAGATGGCAAAGCCTCAACAAAAGGCAAGTCAAATGCCAGAAACCCCGTGGGAAACAACAATTTGCCAAGCTAGAAATTGTTTATTAAACAATTGCATTTGATTTTTAGCTACGTTTTGTTGTTGTTGTTGTTGTTGTTTTTGCTTTTTTAATTAAGTCAGCAGCAATTGCAATATTATACAGCTTGCACGACTCGCAGATACCAGTGAGAACCTTTCGATCAAATAGATCTGTCAGATACAGTAAACACACGCAAATGCGTACGCTGCCCTGCTTTTGAAGTCGCTGGTTCAAATCCAGTCGCAATTCTGCAAATTCTCTAACGTTGAGCTGCCGAAAGAAACATATTTGCGATTTTGGTTGAAGGTAGTTCGAATGTTATATGTATATACAGTCGCTGGTTCAAACCCAGTCGCTGCTTGGAGCTCTTTCAGCCTCGAGCTGCCGAAAGAAACATATATATGCTTTTATGTGCCTATTGAAGTAAGTTCGAATGCTGATTAGCTGCTGATCAGCTCGACGCTAGAGAAATAGATGGCTGAGACTGGATTTGAACCAGCGACTTTATATATAACATTCGAACTTCCTTCAATACGTATCAGCATAGATAATTATGTTATATATATATATATATATATGTTTTGGCAGCTCGACGCAAGAGGAATGCGAAATTGTGACTGGATTTGAACCAGCGACTTCACGCACTCTCATATGGTTTTGGCTGGATTTGAACCAGCGACTAAATATATATATATATGATATATATATATGAATATATATATATATATGGAATGAGCGAACGCATCCAAAATCTTGACTATCTTGAAGCATTTGAAAATCGATATATATCGATTTGCAGAAAACAATGTTATTTATCGCTAAATTTGAAGCTAACTTAACATAACAAGATCAAGGAAGCACTTCGACTGATCAAGAATATGTACATAAAACCAAGATACATAAAACTAATATGCCCATTTGCAATGGGAATGGAACAAGAGGCAAGGAATTCTTATCGAAATAATCCACAAGCTGCACGACTTCTATCAATTTTTAGCCCCAGGGTAGGAGGGCGTTGCGATCCGTGAGACAATAAACGAAGGACGACCTTGACCGGCTGGCTTGGCGCATGGGGCGGGCAGCGGGATGGGGGGAAATGGGGCTTAGCTGCATAGTAATTGGTTTTATCTGCCGATCGAGTCGAGCCATGAATGAAGCCAAATGCAACAACGGCAACGGCAACGGCAACTGCAACATTTGTTGAATGAAGCATGGAAAAAAACATCGACAACGTTTTTCACAAGCGGCCCGGGCCAGAAAGTGGGTGGGCACCCGCCATTGTCTGCGGCTAGTTAATGTCTATTTCTCTTCTTTTTTTTTCCATTATATTATATTTATGTTTATGAAATGCATATCGAGTTCGCGGCAGTTGCCACACGCCGAGGTTAACGCACGACTCGACTTGGCTGTGGCAAGCGGAAGTTGCCCAGTTCAAGTAAAGAAAAGAAACTGTCACGAATTTGCGTGACACGATCGGACACGATAGAACACGACGTGTTCGTTTCGCACGATAGAACACGACTTTGCGTGACACGAGCGGACACGATAGAACACGACGTGTTCGTTTACACAACTCTGACACGAGCAGGCACGATAGAACACGACTTTGCCTGACACGAGCGGACACGATAGAACACGACGTGTTCGTTTACATAGAAATTTGAGTATTATTAGCAAATAGATATGAAATAAAATATTATTTTTAAATGAAATGAAAAGCTTCAACAAATTCAAAAAGCAAGCAAAGGCAAAAAATAAGCTCGTTATATACAAACTCTTCCAGGCAGTTTTTCTACTTTTAAGCTTTAGAGACAAGATCTTTTGTAATAAAAAAGAAAAAATTAGAATAAGAAAATCCTTGAGATTACAAGCAGAGCTTCAGCTCCCTCTCCTGGTAAGGGAACTATTAAAGAGATAACAAAGGATACAATAAAACCTAGAAATAAATTTCCATTCTTTAGCAAATTTTGAATATTTAAAACAAAAAAAAAACAATTCTTAAGCACATTTAAATAAAAAACTCATGACCTCTTTCCAGCTAACTGGCCGCCATTTTGGTTAAAGCGAATTTACCGTTAGATATTATTTATTAAACAAATCAAATAGAAAACTAGATTTGAACCAACAAGTGGATTCGCTCTAAAAGATGCCCGCCCAATTCTGCTTTGACTGTATAAAAGCAAAATCGTGCTTGTTTCTAGCGCGCATCGTGCTGAAAAAACATCGACACGCGCCCATCTCTAGGCAGCTGTGCTCTTGCGGCTGGTCACGATGTCAATCAAAGCGCCGATGACAACATTGACGCTTGTTGCCACAGCATCGGATTGAACAATGCCATTGCCCCGATCTGGGCATGTTCTGGGTACTGATTTATGGACACCATTGTCTGCCAGACGCAACGCCCCGACAGGCACAGCGACTGCACCTGGTCGAGCATTACACAACCAATGGGCACGGCAAGAGCAAGATTTGGATTTTCTTATGCGCGCGTGCGTTTAACAATTTGTGTCGGAACTATTTATTACGCTTAACAAACAAACAATGTCGAAAAATATAGATTGTAGGAGCGGTGCAGTTCAGTATTTCAGCTCCTTGGCCTTGTCGTGCGCGCCCTCGTCGAGCAGCTTCAGCTCGGCCTGCTGCTTCTCCGGCCGTATCACAGTGTAATAGTTGTAGTAGCGCATGCCGAGCATATAGGTGCCGTATAGGGTGACACCGATGCAGGCGTAGACAGCGCCACGGTGCAGCTTGTCCAGCAGCGTGTTCGCGTTCAGCGGCTTCTTTTGCATCTTTCTAGCCCGCAATATTACCGCACTCAGAATTGGGAAAAAGTCAAGCAATACTTTGTCTGTTAGTGATGCACCAAATGAAATAAACATCGCAAAACTGTATGCTTTTTGTATATATCGATAACGATATTTTCGTTAGCCTACTCTGATGAGGCGAAGCAACTAGCATCGCTAGCGCACACTATGGATGAAAACAACAGCGAAGCAATGCATTCGATTTCGATATGTCGTACCAATTCAAATAACGTTTCGCATATGCAAATGATTATTATCAATAAAGTGCATATTAAATTGCCTTACAGCTGATCGAATGTAGAAGTGAATGCAGCAGTAGTAGAAGCGCCATTTCAAACTTATCGATAATTGTGGCGGCAAACGACAGCAGAAAAAGTAGACAAATATCGATGCTTTTTTTGTAATCGATTTATATCGTGCATCGCTAGCCCACACATATTTGTTTACCGCAGGCAGCTGGATTTGGCTCTGCTGTTGTTATTTTGCTTGAAAACCATGATCTGCCGTTTGTGCCTGTCCGATTTGGACAACGCGATGTCCATTTGCATATTCAGCGATGCCGAGCACGGCCTGCCCAAGGCCATTGCCAAATATTTACAGCTCGAGGTGCTGCACACTCCACATACTCACACACAGACTGTAAAAACATTACACCTTGCATTCCATTTTGCCAGGTGACGATCAGCGATAGCATCTCCACGAAACTGTGCACCAGCTGCTGGCACCATCTGAGCGATTTCCAGCAGTTCTGCGCCATGGTCGCCGACAAGCAGCAGTCGCTGCAGCTGAAAATGGAGCCGGAACCGCCGCCCGAGCCAGCTGTTGTTGTGTGGAACACCGAGTCGCCGATCGAAACGAAGCTGGTCTTCGATGACGATGTCAAGGATCATATACTGTGCGAGCCCGAGATTGATGTGAATGACAGCACACAGTCCACCAGCAGCAGCAGCAGTAGCAATAGCGAGGACTCGCCGGCCGATGCCTTCGATTCGGAGTGCGAGCAGACAGCTGCGGCCAAGCAAAGCAGAAGGCGCACGCGCCAGACGCCTTTAAAGCCAGCCGCCAGCAAGTGTCCAGCGCCACAATTAACTGCCGCCAGCCAGCGCGAGTCGCGTTTGCGTTCGCGCGAGCTGCGACGCACTGCAGCAGCAGCAGCTGGAGCAGGAGCAGCAGAGCTGCCCGCCAAAATGCTAAAGATCACAAAGTCACGCGGCCGACCCAAGGGAGTTAATGCCAAGCCGAAACCGCAGCCGCAGCCAAAGTCAGCCAAACCGGACGCCGACGAGCTGGCGGCGAAACGCAGCAGCATCAAGGAAATGGACGACTATATTGCGGCCAACGTGAAGCTGGACTGTTGCCTGTGCGCCGCGCCGCTCCAAAACTTTATCGAGCTGAAGCGACACTTTCGCGCCGAGCACAACTGCACCGGCTACATGGAGTGCTGCAACAATCGCTACAAGAAGCGCACCTTGTATGTGGACCACTTGCACTATCACAAGGATCCGCAGTACTTTAGCTGCCAGCCGTGCCGCAAGAGCTTTCTCAATCGCAACAGCCAGGACATGCACATGCTGCGCTTCCATTCCGAACAGCAGCAGCTGGTGCATCAGTGCGGCATCTGTGAGGCGCGCTTTGCCAAAAAGTTTCTGCTCACCATGCACATCAAGGGTCACAAGGGCACCGAGCGCACCGAGGCCTGCGAGACCTGTGCCAAGAGGTGGGTCTTCCGCCTGATACAGATGGCATCTAAACTGATCTATCTTTCTCTCCACCACTGACAGCTTCCGCACCAAACTGGAGCTGACGGCGCACATAAAGCGCATGCACACCTCGGACTTTACGCCCGTAATCTGTGACATTTGCGGCGTACATTTCCGCTCGAAGGCCAACTTTCTGATACACAAGAAGGCGCTGCATCCGGATGGCCCAGTCGCCGAGGTGCAATGCAATCTGTGCAGCCGCTGGCTGCGCGACGAGCGCAGTCTGCGCAAGCATCTGGCCAGGCACGATGATCGCGATGGCGACAACAAATATCGCTGCCTGCTCTGCAGCGCCGAGAAGGCCTCCCGTGTCGCCCTGAGCAGCCATATGCGCTACCATCACTCGGCCAAGCGGCACAGCTGCACGCTCTGCGGCAAGGAGTTCAAGCTGCCACGGGCCCTGGCCGTGAGTAATTCCGCTTGCGATCTGCTGCCACGTCTCGATATTGATACATTTGTATTTTGCATGCACGCACACAGGAGCACATGGCCACGCACACGGGCATCGATCTGTACTCGTGTCCATTCTGTACGCGCACCTTCAAGTCGCACGCGAACATGCACAACCACAAGAAGAAGATGCATCCCAACGAATGGGTGCGCAAGTATACGCAGCCCTCCGCTCGTGCCGCCCAGGCAAATGGCAAGGAGGAGCAGCAGGAGGAGCCACTGGCACAGCCAGCTGAGGCGCCGCCAGCTGAGGCGCCGCCAGCTGAGGCGCCGCCAGCAGCTGATGGCAGCTATGAGTACATGGTCAATGGCAGCGCCGTTTGTCCCATTTGAAGGCGTGTCGCAGCAGCCCGATATCCGGCCATTGTACATATGTAATTAGTTTATTGGCATCTATAAAAATGTTGCAAATTGTGAATTGTAGACTTAAACGTAACTTTTGTAGTATAAAAAACATGAAAGCGGAAGCATCGTTTAGTTCTCAGCCTCGTTTTCGGCCAGTATGGTGCGGATTTTCATGAGCAGCTCCTTTTTAACGGCATCGGGCACTAGGGTGCGCGCCTTGGGCGTCACTTCAGCAATTAGCTGCTCCACGGTGACGCCGTTGCTCGAGTTGCTCTTCTCGAGCAGTATGTTGCGGCATAGCAGACGCACCTCGTCCCGCCAGCCGCACTCGGTCAGGCGATTGCAGAGCAGGTCCTTGATTTTGGAACGATCCCCGGACATGATTGTGTACTGGTCCACGGTGTTTGAAACAGTCATGGTTTATTGCTTTTATTGTTACCTTGGCGTTTGCTCGCGGCGCGCCGCAAGAGGCCAATGTTTGCTAAATTGCTATTTTATATTTGTGGATGGCCAACAAATACAAGCTGATCTAATATCGATAACATTATCGCAATGTTTCTTATAGCTTTCCCAATACTCAAACCAATTAGCATCGATGCCTGCGGCAGGGCGCTTTTCTGTAAAATGGATGGAGTAATCGCTAAGTGCGCCAGCTAGCTGCTAAGTGCTTAACAGTTGCTGTTAACTGTTCGCTAAACTGTGGCAACGCCGTCGCCTAACATTTCATTATCGAAGCGAAACTGCAAACAGCTGGCAACAATATCAAATATTTAAATTTAAAAAAAAACCAAGAAAAAATGTTAACAATTGGAAAGTCAATTAAGTTTTAACAAGCTCAATTTGCAAGGCAATAAACATTTATCAAATATTGAATGCTATTTAACTGTTAAACATAGAAACAAAACAAATTGGTCTGAGCTTTAAATGTCGATACATCGTAACAGCAAGCGCGCATCGATATTTACGATCACTGTTATCGATACATCGCTATATTTGGCAAAATACTTAGTTGAACATCCAATAACTAGCAGCAGCAGCCATGTTCATCATCAGACAGCTAGGAGTTACAGGCAAGAGCAGACATACAAAATTATTTTAACTTTTTTTTTTTTTTTTTGATACACCCTTGCTTTGTCGTTTTGTTATACATACACACACTCACACACACACACACACACAGACAAAAACAGATTGAAAGTCAATACGTTTTAGTAGAAACACATATTGTTTTTGTTTGAATTGGATTTGATTAAAAACGGCTCGTAAATAGGCAGAAATGTCAGTAAAAGGGCTTTTTAAGTATTAATATTGTAGGCTCTGGCGGTACAGTCACACAAACAAATGGTAAGTTCTCAACGCATACACACACACACGCGCATGCATCATGCTCGTGTGTGTGTGTGTGTGTGTGTGTGTGAATACAAAATGGAGGTGATTCAATAACAAAATGAACTCTTAATTACAGTTATCTACCATAAAAGTGCACGTGCAAGTCAACAGCTAGTAAGTTTTAAGGAACTGATCAGCCAGGAATTACGAAATGTGAAAACTATAAAACGAAGCAATCGAATGTGTGTGTGTGTGTGTGTGTGTGTGTGATCCCGACACTTTCTGCGTGGACACGTTGCATATATGATTAATATTCGTGTGTGTTCTGTTTTTGTTTTTTTTTTTACTTACAGGTAACTGAGGGCTTCATCAGAAGGTAAAGTAAACTTTTGGGCATTAGCTTTAGAAATTGGTTTAGGGCTCGTAGAAACGTGCCCAAAACCGATTTTCGAAGCAAGTTTTAAACGATCGTATGCTAAAAACGAACGTTTAAAAATCGCAGCAGTTCTATTTGAATGTTATACGCGCGGTAACATCAAATAGAGCAATAGAGCAACAACAACAAATATAGGTATTTAATGTTGGGGTAACGTTATACAAGCCGAGCAAAAGACAAACCAACTATTTTAGGGCATGTATAATGTTGCGGCACGCATAACAAATAGGTTGTTATACGTGCCGAGCAAAAAAATGTTGTAAATATAGGAGTTAGCAAAATAAATGTAACGTTATACGTGCCTTAACAAATACTTTCAAAATATATTGTTTAAAATTAAAATGCAAACTAAACTGAAATATGTCTATTGATTTTTATTTGGATGATGCTGATGAAAAGTCAGCAATAGTCTGCATTCTCGCTCTTTCGGTTTGGTGATGAGAGAGATGGATATATTTTTGTCTCTCTCTCTTTCATGGATTGCAGTGAAAGAGAATGAGCATGGAACTGTATGAAATGTAGCCTAGCACGACGCATAAATGGCGGCAAATGAGCACATGGAATAGCATCGATTAATATGTCGACAAAACGGATTTTATATTCCTTTGAAGTAAGCTCATGAATTGATGTGATCCGCCATTTTTTTTTAGATCGTCCATTTTGAAATTCACGCGAAGTTGGCTGCGCTCACATTTGACTTAACGTGAAGTTGGCGGCGAGAGACTTAGCCACTTGGCTACAAGTAATTGCTGACTCACTAATGGTGTGTGTCTTCGATGTGTTCGGTGTCCTAACTTAGCAGAGACACACAGGCACAGGGCGGATTGGAAGCACAGAATCAACATTGTGGTGGCTAAGCGATTGAAGGTCGTATCGATAATGACAATCCACTATCGATATTTCGTGTCGTGTAGAGCTGCCAGATGTTGCTTTTGCATGGAAATCGCGTCGCGTCGCAATATTGTTACAATTAGCATAAAAAGTAAATAAAAGTATGAAAAAATCCACTTAAAGTAATGTACAAAAGGTTCAAGTGCAACGGGCTCAGGGTCAGCGTGTAAAAACCAAATGAAAAGTGACCTGCTGCAGCTGTTGTATGTGTTGTTAGTGTATGTGTCTATGCATACATATGTATGTGCCTGTGTATGTGTGTTGCCTTGATTTTGTGTCATACGTGTGGATAAACTACATGCTGTATGTATGTACACATAATTGTGTATAATTTTTGTAATTGTATGCTCAAGTGCGATGATGTATTGGTGTGTGTATTGGTCCCATTTGAACTTATTGCTCGAAAAATAAATATATATAAAAAGAAAACGAAGAAAAACCCGCAACATTTTCAGTTTATAGGCACTGTGTCCAATTGGAACAGCAAGGCCTACATACATATACATGCATAAGTGTGTAAGTACATACACAGATACATAAGTACACATACATACATAGACGTGTTTTGTTAGGCCACCAATGACTGTGTTGTGTTGAGTCCATTGTGGCCTCTGCTGCTGTGCAGCGCTGTAGTCTTATTTGAACTCTTTTTTTTTTATGTTGTTTTTGTATGGCGTCTTAATTTTGCAGCGTTTGCATTGCCAGCAAGCACAAAAAAAAGAAATAAAGAAAGAAAAAAGAAAATGAATTAAATTACATATAGCTCAAAAACAAAGGCGAAAATAAAACGCAATGACAACGGGCAAAACAAAAGAAATCATGAATTAGGCAGCAAAGCAAAAAAAAAAAAACAGTCGCAGTTTACAGTTAAAGTGAATTGGTGTGCGCGTATTTATTGTTATACAAAACTAATGGCAAGCTATGAAAAAAGTAGTGCTCAAAATGTCAATATATAAATGGGCTGCATAACAACAACAGCTACAACAACAACAGCAGCAGCAGTAGCAGCAGCAGTATCAACAACAACAATGAAGCTAGCAGGTGCATAAACAAGAGCTCTGAACTAGTTCGATCTAATTGGAACTGAGCTGTTAGTTAACAGTGCACTGTTGATGAGCAGTCGAAAATTTGCATTAACAGCTGTAATTGCATTATTTGCACAGCTGTTTGACAATACATACACACATGCACATAGCGATGCGCGCGCGTGTGTGTACATGTGTGTGTGTGTGTGTACATGAAATTACATAAAATTAAACAAAAATTGCAACATTTACATGTGTGTGCGTGTGCCAGCGCGTGTTCAAATAATAATAACAACAACATTTGTGCACATTTATTGGAGCGCAGGTGATTTGGCCTGGCTCAGACGCCCAGCAACAGCGAAGGTCAAGTGACGTCGCTGTCGCTGTCGTTGTCCATGTAATAATTATGCTATTGAGTGCATGTATGCGTGTGCATGTGCATGTGCATGTGTGTGTGTGTGTGTGTGCAGCTATTAATGTACATATGTTTTAACATTTGATATATCTCAAATATAGTGCAAAATACGCAGTAACTGGCTAAATTGCAAGAGGAAAAACACCAACAGTGGGCAGCAGCGCGCGCGTAACCCGAAGCGAAAATAACAGCAACAAGAAGAAGAAGAAATAAACAAAAAAAAAACCAAGGCTAGCAGCAGCAGCATCTGAGCTTGGCAATCACAGCAGGCGGGGCGGACCAGGCAGCCAGGCAGCCAGGAAGGCACAGGCAATCAATCAAAGACAACAGCTTCCCAGGCAAAGCTAAGGCCAATTGCAAACGCAAAGAAGAAGACCAGCAAGTAAAAGGCGACAAGGCGAAAAGGCGACAAGGCGAAAAGGCGAACAGGCGAACAGGCAACAAGGCGAACAGGCACACATTCTCCTCCCCCCCCCAGCCCAGCCCACAGCCATGGACTCGGATAACGATAACGATTTCTTGGACAACGTGGATTCCGGCAACGTATCGTCCGGTGATGATGGCGACGATGATTTCGCCATGGAGGTGGATATGCCCAGTTCGACGGAACGTCAATTGGACACCGATGATTATCAATACAAGGTGCTAACCACAGATGAGATAGTTCAGTTTCAGCGCGAGATAATCGATGAGGTTAATCGTGTGCTAAAGGTGAGTCATAATTATACAAATACGTGCATGTTTAAATATGTATGTGCGTGCGTGCGTGTGTGTGTGTGTGTGTGTGAGACTCTTGCAACGTTTATCGTTTGACTGATAAGAAAGTGGCGCACTTCTGCAAGGAGTGTGCGAGCGAGAGCGAGAGAGGGAGAGGGAGACAGACAGCTGATCGAGTTGGCACTGTGTGCGTGCCTGCCAGTGTGTGTGTGTGTGTGTGTGTGTGTGCATAATCTTAGCCAAATTGAAGGTCAGCACAGTTTGATGACATTTGCAATTGCTCAGAGACTTTTGCAGCCAGCATATGCAAATGTATGTGTGCATGTATGCATGTGTGTGTGTACGTATGCATACATACACACATACATATATGCTGTTTATACAGTGGCAGCTCTTTTAAGCGGACATCTCCAGTACTTTTGTGTGCTTGAAAAGCGTTAAAGAAATATTGAAAAAATCTTTAAAAAATTTTAAATAAATAAAAATATAATATTAAAAAAATAATTATTATATGTATATTTATATAATATACAATAATAATATACAATAGTTTTTATGTAGAACGCAGCGCAGTTTGTTGGAAAAACCTTCAAGAAAATAGATGAAAACTAAACAAACTGTTGCCCAGTATAAGAACATTCGTTAAGAGAGAGTTTTCACTGTACCACAATAACTAGTATAAGTCCAACTTTGGCCCAGCTCCGATTTTGTACTCGAAACTTTTTACATCGAATTTGTTTCGAATTAATTTTTTTCAATTTTCTATATATGTAAATGAAGAAATTTTAGTAGAAATATTTCGAGCTCAGAAACTTTGTGTGTTGCAATAGTTAATAACAATTGCAGCTCTTTTGCCTTTATTGATTGAATTGAAACGTAACCCCACCACCCACGACCCACCACCCACCACCCTCCTCCACCCCCTCCGCCCACAGAAAGTTCTATAATATGCAGCCCGCTGCGAGAAACTATTGTAAAAGCCGTCTAATTATTGACTTCGACTTGGGACTGGGACTGTGGGCTGCACACTAATCAATATGTCAGTCATTATGTATTTATAGTCGCAATAATCTATGTACACACACACACACACACACACACACACACACTATATATATATAGACGTTTGCACTGTGCTTATCAAACAGAAACTTATAGAAATGCATTTGGTTTACTTTCTTTCTTTCATTCTGTATGCAGCTCGTCACGCCCATTACACGAATATTGCTGAATCACTTTAAGTGGGACAAGGAGAAGCTGCTGGAGAAGTATTTCGATGGCAGCGATGATAATACGGAGGAGTTCTTCAAATGCGCACATGTCATAAATCCGTTTAACAAGCCAGCCGAGACGGTGCAGCAAAAGGTTTGGCATCAAGTTCAACTATGTATCTGTATCTGACTCACTCACAAACTCACTCTCTCTCTCTCTTTCTATGCCATGCAGACAACACGGAGCCAGTGCGAGGAGTGCGAGATATGCTTCTCCTTGTTGCCGCCAGATGTAAGTTGATATATATATATATATATTCTGGCATCGATCTGAGTATCAATCTTTTGCTTGCAGTCCATGACCGGATTGAAGTGCGGTCATCGTTTTTGCCTGAACTGTTGGCGCGAGTATCTGACAACGAAAATCGTTACAGAGTGCTTGGGCCAGACCATATCGTGCGCCGCGCACGGCTGTGATATATTGGTGGATGATGTGACTGTTACCAAACTGGTGCCGGATGCGCGGGTTAAGGTTAAATATCAGCAGCTGATCACCAATAGTTTTGTTGAATGCAATCAGCTGTTGCGCTGGTGTCCGTCCGTCGATTGCACCTATGCGGTAAAGGTGCCCTATGCGGAGCCCCGTCGCGTCCATTGCAAATGCGGCCATGTATTTTGCTTTGCCTGCGGCGAGAACTGGCACGATCCGGTCCAGTGCCGTTGGCTAAAGAAATGGATCAAGAAGTGCGACGATGACTCGGAGACGTCCAATTGGATTGCGGCCAATACCAAAGAGTGTCCCAAATGCAGTGTTACCATCGAGAAGGATGGCGGCTGCAATCATATGGTATGCAAGAATCAAAATTGCAAGCACGACTTTTGCTGGGTCTGCCTCGGCTCCTGGGAGCCGCATGGCTCCTCCTGGTACAATTGCAATCGCTATGACGAGGATGAGGCAAAGGCGGCGCGTGATGCACAGGAAAAGCTGCGCTCCTCACTGGCCAGGTGTGTGCCGCTACCAATATGCATGCACATACATCAATTGCATAGCTGGCTTAGCTAATATATTCTTCTTGT